CTATTTCTTATCCTGTCACTCAGTTTAACTCCTATCATACTTCTTAATGCTCTCATCTCAACTGCATTTATTCTGCTTTCATGTTTCTTCTGCCATACCCAAGTTTCACTTCCGTACATGAGTGTGGGAACCAACACCCCCTCATGCAAAGCCAAACGAGCCTTGTTAGACACCTTTCGACTGCTCATAAAGGAGTGCAAAGCTCCATTCACCATGTTTCCTGAATTCACTCTTCTTTCGATATCACTCTCACACTTTCCATCTCTTGTAAACTTTGAACCCAGATACACAAACTCTTTTACCTGTTCAATTTGTTCATCTTCAATCATAATATTGCAGTCTGTCACTGCCTCATCTTTTTCAAACACCATCACTTTCGTCTTCCTTACATTCATCTTCATTCCCTTTCTAACAAAAACTCCACTCATAGCAGTTACCATTTCCTGCAACTCCTCGGCCGAAGACGCAAGTAATACTTGGTCATCAGCATAGAGAAAACATTTGACGAGTAACTCATTCATTCTCAACCCACTTTCATTCTCTTTTAAATCTGTCAAACATTTGTCCATGAACAGATTAAACAGCCACGGTGACGCTACACATCCCTGTCTAACACTTATATACTTATACTTATCTTCACGCACAATCCCTGACGGGGTAGCCAGAGAGAACAGATCGCCAAGTGTCACGATCCTTACATACCTCTTTCGCTTCTTTCAGATTCATTATCTTCTTCATACATGCACGTCTAGGTATCCGAGTACTCTTGACCCTACCCTCTTCGAGCAATTTGCTCACATGGTCTTCGAAAGTTAGTCTCGGTCTACCTCGACACCTTTTAATATTAACTTTCGCGCTATATATTTTCTTCACCATTCGGTCTTCACTCATTCGCTCAACGTGCCCAAACCACCGAAGCACGCCCTTATCAATTTTTGTGATAAAGTCATCTTTCAAACCTGCCATATTGCGAATCTCTTCGTTTCGCTTTCGGTCAGCCATGGTAACGCCGCACATTTTACGAAGAGATCGCATCTCCACTGCATTCAACTTGCTTTTATGCTTCTTCTGGCATACCCAGGTTTCGCTGCCATATAACAAAGTCGGTACCAACACTGCGTTATGTATTGCAAGGCGTGCACTCTTCACTACGCCTTGGCTTTTGACTAACGCAGTCAGGGCACCATTGACTTTGTTCCCGGCAGTGACACGCCTGTCCACATCTAAATCACATCTTCCATCCCGGCTAAAAGCACTCCCCAAGTATACAATTTCATTTACTTGTTCTAGACATTCCTGATTTACCCATATTTCACACTTCATTCTCTCTTCGTCCCTTTCAAATACCAGAACCTTAGTTTTATTAGCGTTCAAACGGAGACCTTTAATTTCACATTCCTCTTTCATACACGTGACTAATGCCTGCAGTTCTGCCTCTGATGGTGCAATAAGCACTGCATCATCAGCATACAGCAGACAATTTACTTTTATGTCACCCAATTTCACACCCATACAGCTATCTTTCAGCTTTTGTAAACAGCTATCGAGATACAGTATGAACAGCCAGGAAGACATGACACAACCCTGTTTTACGCCCGTTTGGACGCTAAACATGGGTGACAGGTCATGCCCTACCCACACACAGGCTTTACAGTCACAGTAAAGAGACTGCACAGCCCTTAGCAATCGACGATCCACACCATACCCCGGCAACAGTTCCCACATTTTCTTCCTTACAACCTTATCAAATGCTTTCTCAAGATCCACAAAAGCACAGAAAATCTTCTGGTTAGCAGCCAGAAGCTTTTCCGTGATCATGCGGAGAGAAAACATTTGATCCGTACATCCTCTTCCAGGTCTAAATCCGCATTGTGCCTCCCATAGAAATCTTTCCGATTTCTCTTGCATCCTACGTGTCAAAACCTTCGAGTAAACTTTACTTGCTAAACTGGTCAAGCTGTCTAACACCTTTTTCGATATTAAACCATTCAGTGTATGCTCCGTTTATCCTTACACAAGCACTAGAATCCCTATAAAGAGATTGCATTGCTCGTATGAGGATACTGCTCACACCGTTCACGGACAGTGCTGAACACAATTCATTCCTCACCACTCTATCATAGGCCTTTTCTAGATCTACGAACGCGCAGTAGACTTTCTTGTTTTTAGCCAAATACTTTTCGGCTATGCACCGCAAGGAAAAGACCTGATCCGTACATCCCATTCCCTTTCTAAATCCCGCTTGTGCATCCCATACTTTCTCGTCTGTTTCATTCACAACCCTTTCAATCAACACTTTCGCATACAATTTACCGACGACGCTGAGAAGGCTTATACCGCGGTAATTTATGCAGTCCTGCCGTGACCCTTTTCCCTTATACAATGGCACGATTACGGCTTTGCACCAGTCTCCCGGTACTTGCCCATTTCGCCAGCACAGATTGAAAAGGCGGTACAGCTGACTAGCCACCAGGCCCTGTCCAGCCCATATAATACATATACTACAAACATATAAACATACACAAACTAAAATTAATATGTATTGAATTATCTAATTAAATCAAATCCAAATATATATTTAATGGCTAGTGTGGAAAGTATGTATACCAACACAGATAAATGCCCAAAACATAAATAATTTTAACTAAGCTTATGATCATATTATAAATTATTTTAGTGTTCAACGCAACTCCATAACTAAACTCCTGTAGCACAATTCTAAGAAGCAAACAGAAACGAAACAAAACAAAGCTTGCAAGGCAATAACGGGAAAAAGTACTTTAATTTATTATTACTAAAGGTTGATTTCACATGAAATGTTAATTAACCTGTCTTTTCATTTCCAAGTGACAGGAGTAATGCATTGATTTCTTCCTTTTTTGTAACTAATGTTCGTAAGATTTGTGACTTTATTACTAGATGCCATGGTTATAATTGGGTTGAACATAAAACTGTTTTAATTTTCGTCTCAGTTCTTTAGTAAACAAATGAAGATGTACAAATATATATTCACACGGACAGCATTTAGCTAAGATTTTGTACGTGACCCGTTATCTAGTTGGTATTGTTGATCGAAGGTTTACATTCATACCGCCAATGTCGATTGTCAAACACATAATAGTCTATAGTCAAACAATCGCATAAAGAAGAGATTATCCCCAAAGAAATATAATATGTTGGCAACAAAATATTTACTGACAGATTTCAATATTCCTTCTTCAAAAGTGTGTGGAGTGTACGTCAAGGCAAAAAGCGTTTATTTTATATTTTGTATACTACATTGTTTTATAATATAAAAATGTACTTTATACATTATACATATAAATACTGCGAAATGAAAGTGAAATAGATCTTGCTTGCAATAAAACACGACCACTGGTCCACCACTATTAATAAACAAAGACTTCTATGTATACCACTAGAGCGGCAATTTAGAACTTGAACTGTGTCACAGCTGTGGATCGCCGGGGCGGATAGCTGTCACGATAAAATGTATAACCCGTGCGGTTAAAGAATGGGATTGAAAATGGCGTCGCCTGTATTCACCTCTCGCTCGCACACTGTCACTAACTATACTCACACCCGCCGGTAAAGACTGCAAAATGTTGCGATATGCGTTTTTCAATACGTTCTATAAGTTCAGGTCAACTTGTCATTGAAATCAATTCTAACAAATTCCCATAAACTACGAACAGCTATTTAGTCTGGTTTTGCTAATTTGTGAGTTACGATGCGTTCTGAGTGTTTAATTCATAAGAATTGTCGCTTTTTTATAAATATTTTTGTATAAAATATTTTAAGACATGAGTAACCATTTTTAAAATTTTCGTTTTGTCTTTCTGAGCTAATGTTCGTCAAGGCTGAACCGATTGTAATAAAACTTCATGGGAAGAACATATGGAGAGTAATACCACGAGTGATCTAGACTAAATTTTATAATTTTTTTTTATTAAAATAGAAATATTGATATGATGAAATAAATGGTCTTTAATGATTATCTTAAGTCTAAAATCGCCATATTAATAGATTCCACCCAGGAAAAACCAGGGCGGTTCGCTAATTATAAATGTTATTTTAAAATTAATATACCTACTTGGATAAAGAATTCGTTTCAAATATTTTCTCATTAATAGAAAATGTAAAATTAAACGAATAATATAACGTTATAACGATATGAAGCGTCAGTAGCCTAATGGCAGGGCGCGGACCGCGAACTCGAAAGGTCGTGGGGTTCGAATTCGCCATTCGGCTACTATCGTGAACCACTTCTAACACAGGCATTTTAGGCTTACCAGAAGTGGTTTAATGGAATATTAGTAATGTTTAATAGCATTACCAGTATTTTTCTAAAAAAAAAAAACGATATACCGTTATTAGCGGGTTTTTGTTATTGGTACTGTGCACATTGACGGTACGAGCTTGATGAGCCGTCATTTCTAATCCCATTCTTTATCCGTACGGGCTATACACGATTTATGAAGGGCGCGGAGGTTGTCTAGTAATAGATATAAATACTTGATAATAAACATGGATATATATATGTACTACGTACTAGATTGCGCATTCTGAACATACACTATGTTCAACTGAAGTGTACTGTAATCCGTACAGTGTGTCATTTAGTGTGGTTTCAATCTACTAGTTAGTCTGTGGTTTCAATATTCATAATTATGGCGCTAATAACACAAGATTTCAAATTAAAGTTTAAACCTGGACGTAAATAACAATTCAGTAGTCAAGTAAGTAAAATTATTTGTTGTTCAAGTGAATAAATAGGTAATATCGTAATATTTACAAAAGAAAAAATCATGAATCAGAAAAAATATATTTCTTTATATAAACAGACCGCGCAGGCGCAACGCGCTTAAATCAACTGCGTATGCGCGACTTTACCATCTCCCGCGCATGCGCGGAGACAGAGTAGTACATATTTTTTGTTTAGAAAGGCTTCTCTAGTAGGTAGTACATACAAGTGAATGGTAATAAATGAGAGCGCTCACGGCAGGGTCGGCGTCGTCGAGCAGCAGGCGCGGCGCGGCGCGGCGCAGCGACCAGGCCAGCGCCGCCGCGTCGCCGCCGCCGCGCGCCCACCACACGCACAGCCGCATCGCGTGCTGCACCACCTGCAACCGCGTGCGGGACGCGCCCCGCTTGCCTTACCAACGGGAATCCCGGGACCACTCGTATACGCTCATGCTCACTACTGTGGGCTTTTAGCCGGAAAAAGTTCACCATAACTTTTCTATTACCCCCACAGCTGAAGTTATACATAAAGATTTCCCCACGTTAAAAAAAGACAGTAATAGCCCTCTTTAAAACTAAAATTAAATGGCTGGTGTATAAGATTTTTAAATTTCATGTAATATAACTCAAAAGATAGTATGTAATGCAATGGAATTAACTATTTTGTCACTCATATTATAAATAAAATTAAAGTTAAAAAATAAAACCAACACACTGATCCCGATTTCCGCTAATCATTGTGAGGGTTATAAATATGTCTGCAGTTTCCAATTATTCAGATGTTACAAGTAGATTAAATTGAATTATGTAAGACCATTATTATTTAATACACACACAGATATATATATTATAATAGATTAAAAATGCTTAATCCTTTTAAAATAAATCTTCAATGGACTTTTACAACAGATATAAGTTAAAGTAATCTTATTTTAAACTCGACATAGTGTTTTACTAATATGGGAAAATTAATAGAATAGAAAAGGTAAAGAAAAAAAAATTTGCTAACATCCATTTGTCTTATGATGCCAAATGGTACTAACTGCTGTATTACAGCTGAAAGAGTAAAAGTTATAATAATATTACACACTACAAGGCATTTTTCGTTTTTCCTGGGTGGTAGGTATAACGCCTCTGTAACATCTATGTTTTAAAATTGATTGCTGGTGTCTACGGGCTGAAGTAATCTCTTAAAATCAGGTGGACTAATATTCGGAAATAAAAGTAAAAATCTAGGTTGAATGGTTTAACTTAATCATACCTGTGCCCTTCCCCAGAATCCAGTCTTATATGTCGTTGGCTCCTTCACTGCAGCTGCTTCACATAATATTGATATCAACCTCTCTGTCGTTTCTTCGACATTCATAAGAGACAACAAGGCCTAAAATAAAATAATAATATTCAAATATCAAACCAACTTGTAAAACATTTTGAATAAAAGTGTTAAACCGGTAGCTGAAGGTACTCCGGTTTAACACTGACATCGGGACGTCAATCACCTCAGTCCCCCGTGTCCACGGTTGCTGGAAAGCAACCGAAACGTCGGGAATATAAAATAAGTTAATTAAACGCGATAAAATCCGTAAAAATAGTTTTATTCAATGTGTAATGTTCGCGTAAATATAAGAAATCATTTTGTAAAACATTGTAGAGTTGTGGTATTTTTGTAAATTTTGACAGTTTGGTGAAATTAAGATTCAAGATACCTTTTCAATATTTAAAATTGGCACTGGTAAATAACTGATTCAATGACAATAAAAAAACAAATACTTTAATTTAAAAAAAAAGTAATAGCAGGGTGGGTAGTAATACCTGTGATTACCTTATCTAAAAATGTTTTAAAATAAATAATAATTAAATTAAATTAACCAGCCGGAGGGCTTAAACCCAAAAGAACTTGGATTTTTCACGGATAGTTCTAACACAGTCTTTTAAGCTGAATGCATGGGTATTATTCAAGTGGCCATAGCAAATGCCAGAAAGGTAAAAGACTTCTCCATCAGAATACTGTACAACAGCATGGCGGTACTATAGGCTCTGAGTTGTAAAGTGGTGAACTCGGGACTTATATATGAATGCCATCAACGACTAAATGAGGTATGTGGATTCAGGGGCAACAACGCAGCAGATGAAGTTTCCAGGGGGTTTCAGTTATGGCCGCCATAGGGCCGAAACCGATCATAGCGATTTCTTTTGTTAACATTCGTTCACTGGTACGTAAACACTTCACTACTCGTAATCAACACTTTCGCTCAGCTTTTGAAAAATCTATAAGACTAGGCAAGCTAGGGAGACCCTGCCAGCAGTAAACAGTCGTTTAACCAAGGTCTTAATGAGATTGAACAAGCCACAGATCAGGATAGCAACAAGTTCTATTACAGGACACGTCTTTTTTAACAAACATTTATTTACCATACGTGTCATAGCACTGTGTAGGCCGTGTATGGGGATATCTACCATTGGGGGGAGAAGGAAAAGGCGTCCCACGTGATGCTGGCATGTCCGGAGGTCTCTGCATACAGGGTTATACATCTCGGCTCGCCGAAATCACTCACTAAAGTTGCCCGCAACATTAAGGGACTGCTGAACTTCTTCGAGATTTCACGGCTCGAATAATCATATTATTCCTGCCCACACTTACGCTTAAGCCCGATTTACACTTCGACAAGCACAGTAGCGAGTTAACGTTAAGTTGAGGCGAGTTAAGTGAAATATCTCGTTTGAACGGCAATCAGTGAGTTAAGTAAATAATGTAACACTGTTTCTAAGTATAAATTAAAAAACAAGCAGCAAATTAACAATTAAGTTGAACGAGATAGCCGGACGGGCTATTTTTCTTTTTCTTCTTTCTCTTTTTTTAGTTAAGTTCGAAGTGTTGCCCCTCCCCCCCCCCCCACCGCCCACCGCGCGTCTACCGCCACCCGCAACTAAACTCGCCGCTGCTGTAAACCAGCTAGTTTAGTTTAGTGCATAAGTAGACAGGACGCAATGTGTTCGCGTTCGACCCTCAAAATATAAAATAGTACTTTTTTTAACTAAACTCGCCACGAAGCCATTTGAACACTACTGCCCAGTTAACAGTTTACTGTCAACTGTCCTGTAACTAAACTCGCTACTGTACTTGTCGAAGTGAGAATAGGTCTTTAGACGCGGAGTTGCAGAAAATAGCCCGTCGTAAACTAAACTAAATTAAAATAAATGGCAGTTGTATAGCTATGAAAGACAAACCGGATGTAGTTTAGGAGTCTGAGCTGGATCTGAAGAAGGCAACGTGCCGATACGGCACAATAATTGTAGCAGCAGTGCTAAACAATCTTGTCTCCATTCACTGTCGTCGTTCCGTTGAAGCACCCCTAAAATTTAACGTAAATCATTTCTTCAAGTACCAGACCTTATTTAATTTTACATACAGTTTAAAAAACAGGTACATATTTGTAACACTTGTGACGCAAATACAAGTCATTCAATTTAAGGTTTAATACTTAAACCATGTGGCGTGAGTTTAGCTGATTTCATCCCATCTTAATATTTTTTACTGATGGATGTCTGGAAACAATCAGCGTAACGCCTGTTGTAGAACTTTACACGACGATGATAATGATTGTGGTTATGATGTTGACCTACGTGACGAGTGCTACATCGTCTATATAGTCTTACAATGACAAATGGTGTAAAGCAATCGTTGATTATCGTTTACTTAAGTATTAAATATCTATACTTGTTTCTATCCGCAGTCATTTATTAAAGAGAGAGAGAACAAATTTAAGCATTTCTCAAATTTACAATCTTTATGGTATGGCCGCTAGACCATAGCTATAGATGTATACATCCATTTCCCATTACAGCCAAACATGTCTTTTTTTATAGCAAAAGGGTGACAAACGAGGACACAGTCCACCTGATGGTAAGTAGATATTGTGGCCCATTGACAACTACATCTGTCTTCGATTAAGAATCAAAATGCAGATGCGTTGTCAACCCCGAGGACTCAGAGAAAATGCCTCGTTTCCAGTAAAAAGGGTTTTCGGTTATCTACCATTCACCTTACGAAATATTGTAACATTAAGCAGCTAGTTTACGCCGGTATTCTGTGAGAGGGTAGTGCTTCTCCGGTCGAGCCGACCCATTCGTGCTACAACCATAATAAAGCTGCAGCCTGGCTCTATATTACTCCTCTTCAGCTAAACTAAACTGAACTGAACTGACCAAACTGTTACTCCTCTTGAGCTGAACTAAACTGAACTGAACTGACCAAACTGCTGGTCTCCCCTCAAAAAAATGCCCGATTTAACGGATATTTGACATAGTTGCTAGGCTTGGCAGGCGGGTTAGAAACCTCAGTTTTTTATCATTTTAATTTTTATTAGGAAAATGCTTCTATTTAATTTCCCTTTATTGCTTCTTACGACACAGAGTGATATAGATAGTAGATTCTTTCATATATATTCACACATATATGTAGTAGATAAACATAAGGTATGTGATAAAACTGCAACCGTATTATTTAAGCAATAATTACTCACCTGACATCATGATGTCATATAATATCCTTAATCCTCCTTTCTTAATAAAAAGCTCATTCCAGTTGTCTACAGCTACCTTCTCTTCTTCGCTTTTTTCTATGCTTCCAGGTGACTCTTTCACATTTGAACCGTTATTATTGGAGCTTAATTTATCTATTATGTGAAGTGAATACATAAGTTTCTGTGGACTAGTTGGGTCGAGTAGCTCCGGCAGTTTGCTTTCAATTGGGTTTTGGAAGGCTTCTAGTAGAGTCGGATTCAATGGCACTGCTTGAAGAATATCCCATACACGTCTTGACAACAACTGCGCTTTAGTATGGGCTACGAGTTCCTGTAATATTGTCATTAATAATAAATTAAAAACATATTTACACACATAAGCATATTTTAATTGACAGTATTCTTTCATTTTACAGACACTAAATCATTACGTAGAAGATAGGACAAGTTCCTCGACAAGTATCGTGTTGTGGTGGTGAAAGAGATGGATTCATTCTCTTTCGTACCGGTGGTGTCCGTAAGAAGGTATAAAAATCTAATGATGGTGGGACGAATTATCTCATTTACGCTAGGTGTTAAATACCCATACCGGCGATGAGCAGATGTGTGAACGGTGCGAGACGTTTGGTATTGCGATTGTCGATTCTCCTGTCGAGCGTGACAATAAATAAAAATCCTTCCTTCAACTGGAGAAGCTGATTTTCATCGGTATACTATAAAGGGTTGTTGATATAGATGTGTATTCAGACCCGGAACAATTATGTGTACGATATACAAATGCTTGCTCTGTGTGGGATTCGATTCTACAGCGTGGCGACTAAACGCTTTGCTTCTGTGCTTTAGTGTATTTAGTAATATATTAAATATAAGAAGATTGTTAACTGCTGTTCTTGATATTTTTTAATACATGTTATGATTTTCCAACGTTTGCATAGTATTATATGGCATATTATGCTACTCAAATTCAATAACAACAAATGCAAAGGTTAAAACAGTAAATAAAATAATCGGACTGCTTAAAAAAATTACTCAAAGAAGTAAAAGTTTTATATTCTATGTTGCTTCTAGTTCTACAACTAAGACAATACTATCAACGTCCTATATGTTAAAATCTATCAAGTCATTTAGATTACAGATGTCTAAATACTCAAACTGTACTCAATTTTAAGATGTTAAGTCTAGTGCTGTTTCTATCACTTTTAAAGTTAATAATACAATCATGTAACACCACGAGACTTATCGACGTCTTAAAATAGAGCAGCGTTTGAGTATTTGGACACGAGAGTGCCAAAGAAATAGACGTACATACAAAGAAAAATATTACCCTCGTTCTGGAGCGGTCGGATAGTAAAGTCAAAGAAAAGTAAAAATGATTGAAAAAAAAGAGAAGTGTGTGTACGGACGGCATTGGTGGCGGGCTCGTTCATCTGGCCGAGCGCCTGCATGAGCGTGAAGAGCTGGTGGAAGTAGACGGGGTCGAGCAGCAGCAGCGTGGGCAGGCGCGCGCGCGCCGGCGCCGGCTGCGCGCTCGGCCACTCGCCCCACGCGCCGCGCCCGCCCACGCCCACCGACACGAACACCAGCTGCAACACCGCGCGCACCACACCCCCATCACTACTTCTGACACGCTACTGCTCTACCTGGCCCACTCACATACTTACATCCCGACGGATATACCTATATACCGATTCATAACTACGAGTATCTTACCAGGCTAATCTAGTGAAATAATTATAATTGTACTTTGTTTGTAATTTGTTAGTCAAATTTTTTTTTATAAAATAGTGGTGACAAACAAGCACACAGCCCACCTGATGGTAAGTGGTTGCTGTGGCCCATAGACACCTACATCTATCCTCAATAAAGTATCGAACTGCAGTTGCGTTGTCACCCGTGAGGACTAAGATGGAATACCCCGGTTCCAGTAAAAAGGGTCTCCGGTTCTCTACACTCACCATACGAAACACAACAGCATTAAGCTGCTATTTTACGCTAGTATTCTGTGAGAGTGTGTTCCTACTCAGGACGAGCCGACCCAATCGTGCTACAACCATAATAATATAGCTGAAGAAAGGCTCTACCACGTAAGCTACTTATGACTTATACTTTTTGAATTTTTGAAATTATAAAATTAAATTGTTCAGTTCAGTTCTTAGTTACAGGAGTGATTGCATGCTACTTCACAACTTGACATTTCGATTTGACCAAAAAATATTAAATATTCACATGTGGTCAATAATTCTAGAATTTATGATGCTATAACTTATTCCGCCTTATTACAAATGTGGTTTATTGAAAACTAGCTGTGATCCGCGGTTTCACCCGAGTATATCACGCGTCTACGCCTTGCGACATGCAAACTTCGAAAGAGACATCACGACGGACAGTTGCTGAATTAACAAAGATTTAAAAAGTAAAATATGCTACTAAAATTACACGGTTAACGTAATTGGTGGTTATGCATGATACAGGTACTGATACAAATAATGTGGCCTATTTTATACCGGCGTTACTATTTCACATTTTAACATGAAAAAGTAGTTATTGTGACATAAGTGTATTAGTTAAACATATGGTATCGCAGACTTTTTTGTAGATATTGATATCCTCTATAAAACCGAAGTACATTACTTTGCTCTATTATCAATAGTTACCGCAGCGTACGCGATATAAGGATTCTTTTTGGTATTTCTTTCACACCTTGGGTTACATTAATGAAGTTTTCATACGGATCCCTAACTTTTTTGAAAATATTATATAGCCTATGTTCATCAGGGATAATGTAGGATTCTAATGGTGAAAGAATTTTTCAAATTGGTCCAGTAGTTTCGGAGCCTATTCAATTCAAGCAAACAAACAAACAAATCTTTCCTCTTTATAATAGTATAGTATAGTAAAATAATATAGTGTAGATCTCTCATTTACTTAAAACTATGGTTTATGTTGAGTCTTTCTCATTAATGAAGTCGATTAGTCGTGGCATCGCATTTTACTATCACATTCCATACTTCCAATTTTAGGTCGCATATTTCCGCGGGACTTCTTTCATGAAATAGATTGCAGTTTAAGCTAACAACTAATTATAAACCTTTTGTAATAAGACGGTTAAGGGCTAACAATACGAAAATAAAAAGTTTTGTTGTATAACAGGAGAAACCTAGAAATTGTAATTGAGAATATATAAATGATATATTAAAATGCGTTTTAATAATGCCATACAATTTTTTTAAGACAGAAAGATAATTTTACCTGGTTGTCCTTAAACCCCATATCATATAACGTTCTCTCATCATAGTCTATTGTCAACTCTTGGCCTTGAGTGATCATTCGCAGAGGACCGTCTGTCGATAGCGCAGTAACTCCCTCTTCACCTTGAATCTGCGTTAGATAGTGAAAATAATATAATGAATATACAGACTGTTATGTAAAAATTATTATAAATATGTTTTAATATTAAAAATATTTCTGGACTATCAGCATACATGATACCTATAGCGAAAACAACGCTAGTGACTTTATATTAAAAATAACGATACGATATTTATTAAAATGTTATGTTCGTTTATTTGGAAGTCTGATTAGTAATAGGACGGAGTGGCGTAAAATTCACTACTCCATAAATCCCGTGGCTGTCGTAAGAAGCAACAGAGGGTAATAAAACAGGATCGGCATCTTCCTGATAACAATCTAACCTTAATATAACCTTAATACAAAGCTTGCCAAGTAGGCAGATTGGTAACCGCAGTTTTTGCCTACAACCAGGGCAAATATAAATATCTCATAGGGGAGACAATCAATAGAGATAAATTGAGGATATTTGATCGGCTATAAGAAATAAATGAATGTTTATGACGGGTACACACGGGTTTACCTCTAGCTTACACACTGTTGTGTAAGCTAGAGGTGAACGAGGCGTTTTATAATCTCGTTCATAATATTTTGTTTAAAAAACTTCTACATAATATGCTGAAAATGACGTTACGAATTCTTTGGGAAATTTTGACGACGGTTTAAGCCGGCGGACAGTCGATGACGAAAGTATCTAGAGTTTAGGCGTCTAAGAACACAAAATATCTTGGTATTTTGTGTTCGGAACATTTGTTTCCTCGTTTCCGCTAATAGTTCACATGCAAAGACAATTAATTCTCGAAATTGCATCACTTTTATGTATAAAAATGTACTTGAAAACTATTATAAAACGCTAAAACAAGAGCAGCAATCCATCGGAGATCTAGTTCCCGCCAAAACTCCCGCTAGTATAGCCTACTTTAGACCAACAAAAAAAGATAGACAGAGCGTTGAGTACATTTCGAGTGATGCCGAAATCAAACTCAATATCTTATAATACACAGTCAAGCACACATCTTCGTTGTTTCTTTTTTACAACCCGTAAAAGTCCACTAGTGGATGAACACGATGATATGCATTTAAAACCATGTTGTTGTAAAAACAAATTAAGTACGAAGGGCTTCTTGCTTCTTTCGTTTTTGGTCAGTTGAAGCGACGGCAGCGCTGTCCGCAGCGTGTGCAGCGCTCACCTACTTCTCCCACCAGACGTGCACGTGCGCGCGCAGGTGCGCCACCAGGTCGGCGTGGTGCAGCGCTATGGAGGCGCGCGGGCCGGCGCCGGCCGGCTGCAGCGTGAGGCGCACGGTGCCCGCGCCGCCCGCGCCCTCCCCCGCGCCCGTGTGCAGCGTGTGCAGCGCTCACCTGCTTCTCCCACCAGACGTGCACGTGCGCGCGCAGGTGCGCCACCAGGTCGGCGTGGTGCAGCGCTATGGAGGCGCGCGGGCCGGCGCCGGCCGGCTGCAGCGTGAGGCGCACGGTGCCCGCGCCGCCCGCGCCCTCCCCCGCGCCCGTGTGCAGCGTGTGCAGCGCTCACCTGCTTCTCCCACCAGACGTGCACGTGCGCGCGCAGGTGCGCCACCAGGTCGGCGTGGTGCAGCGCTATGGAGGCGCGCGGGCCGGCGCCGGCCGGCTGCAGCGTGAGGCGCACGGTGCCCGCGCCGCCCGCGCCCTCCCCCGCGCCCGTGTGCAGCGTGTGCAGCGCTCACCTGCTTCTCCCACCAGACGTGCACGTGCGCGCGCAGGTGCGCCACCAGGTCGGCGTGGTGCAGCGCTATGGAGGCGCGCGGGCCGGCGCCGGCCGGCTGCAGCGTGAGGCGCACGGTGCCCGCGCCGCCCGCGCCCTCCCCCGCGCCCGTGTGCAGCGTGTGCAGCGCTCACCTGCTTCTCCCACCAGACGTGCACGTGCGCGCGCAGGTGCGCCACCAGGTCGGCGTGGTGCAGCGCTATGGAGGCGCGCGGGCCGGCGCCGGCCGGCTGCAGCGTGAGGCGCACGGTGCCCGCGCCGCCCGCGCCCTCCCCCGCGCCCGTGTGCAGCGTGTGCAGCGCTCACCTGCTTCTCCCACCAGACGTGCACGTGCGCGCGCAGGTGCGCCACCAGGTCGGCGTGGTGCAGCGCTATGGAGGCGCGCGGGCCGGCGCCGGCCGGCTGCAGCGTGAGGCGCACGGTGCCCGCGCCGCCCGCGCCTTCCCCCGCGCCCGTGTGCAGCGTGTGCAGCGCTCACCTGCTTCTCCCACCAGACGTGCACGTGCGCGCGCAGGTGCGCCACCAGGTCGGCGTGGTGCAGCGCTATGGAGGCGCGCGGGCCGGCGCCGGCCGGCTGCAGCGTGAGGCGCACGGTGCCCGCGCCGCCCGCGCCCTCCCCCGCGCCCGTGTGCAGCGTGTGCAGCGCTCACCTGCTTCTCCCACCAGACGTGCACGTGCGCGCGCAGGTGCGCCACCAGGTCGGCGTGGTGCAGCGCTATGGAGGCGCGCGGGCCGGCGCCGGCCGGCTGCAGCGTGAGGCGCACGGTGCCCGCGCCGCCCGCGCCCTCCCCCGCGCCCGTGTGCAGCGTGTGCAGCGCTCACCTGCTTCTCCCACCAGACGTGCACGTGCGCGCGCAGGTGCGCCACCAGGTCGGCGTGGTGCAGCGCTATGGAGGCGCGCGGGCCGGCGCCGGCCGGCTGCAGCGTGAGGCGCACGGTGCCCGCGCCGCCCGCGCCCTCCCCCGCGCCCGTGTGCAGCGTGTGCAGCGCTCACCTGCTTCTCCCACCAGACGTGCACGTGCGCGCGCAGGTGCGCCACCAGGTCGGCGTGGTGCAGCGCTATGGAGGCGCGCGGGCCGGCGCCGGCCGGCTGCAGCGTGAGGCGCACGGTGCCCGCGCCGCCCGCGCCCTCCCCCGCGCCCGTGTGCAGCGTGTGCAGCGCTCACCTGCTTCTCCCACCAGACGTGCACGTGCGCGCGCAGGTGCGCCACCAGGTCGGCGTGGTGCAGCGCTATGGAGGCGCGCGGGCCGGCGCCGGCCGGCTGCAGCGTGAGGCGCACGGTGCCCGCGCCGCCCGCGCCCTCCCCCGCGCCCGTGTGCAGCGTGTGCAGCGCTCACCTGCTTCTCCCACCAGACGTGCACGTGCGCGCGCAGGTGCGCCACCAGGTCGGCGTGGTGCAGCGCTATGGAGGCGCGCGGGCCGGCGCCGGCCGGCTGCAGCGTGAGGCGCACGGTGCCCGCGCCGCCCGCGCCCTCCCCCGCGCCCGTGTGCAGCGTGTGCAGCGCTCACCTGCTTCTCCCACCAGACGTGCACGTGCGCGCGCAGGTGCGCCACCAGGTCGGCGTGGTGCAGCGCTATGGAGGCGCGCGGGCCGGCGCCGGCCGGCTGCAGCGTGAGGCGCACGGTGCCCGCGCCGCCCGCGCCCTCCCCCGCGCCCGTGTGCAGCGTGTGCAGCGCTCACCTGCTTCTCCCACCAGACGTGCACGTGCGCGCGCAGGTGCGCCACCAGGTCGGCGTGGTGCAGCGCTATGGAGGCGCGCGGGCCGGCGCCGGCCGGCTGCAGCGTGAGGCGCACGGTGCCCGCGCCGCCCGCGCCCTCCCACGCTCCCGACTCCGCCAGCGCCCAGCGTCGCAGGTGGTACGCGTACCTGTCGCACTCAATGATTACGTTTGATCCATCATGCATCATGAAACTGTTGAAAAGTATCAGTACTCTCAATAAGCAACTATATGACTGTTTGCCTGGCCTACCTGGGTGCACCTGTTACCGCGCATACAGGTAAAACGCAAAAAAATTTGCCAAAAAAAAAAGTGTTTGATTCAAATATTAATAATGACTATCCGTCAGCTAAGTTTATAGAGAATTAAGAAAAAAAATGACAGAAAAACTTCTGAAGGGGTTTACATAGGGGCAGACTACCCTAAAATTGTGTTCAAAAATTCCAAAAAAGTGATTTAATCTGCCATTTTTACAGCGTGTTTATTATGTATAATAAAAAATTCTCACAAAAGGGCACACACTTTCTCCGGGGGTTAATAATTTAACCTGTCTGTTTGTAATGTAAAAAATAACCGCTTTTTACTAAACGCATATAAAACTTTATTCGGTATTTATAACAAAAACAATTTTTAAAATTTTTGTCTGTCTGTCTGTCTGTTTGTTCCGGCTAATCTCCGAAATGGCTGGATCGATTTTGACGAGACTTTCGCTGGCAGATAGTTGATGTTATAACGAGTAACTTAGGCTATTTTTATTTTAGAAAAATTATTAGAACCCCCACAAAAAAAAACTCTAAATTACACGCGGACGAAGTCGCGGGGAACAGCTAGTATTAAAATAAATCTTGCGTGGACAGAAGACAAATGTGCTACGGGTTGTAATGAGTGCAACAGAGAGCAACGGTCACCAATATGTGAAAAAAGTGTTTGATTCAAATAATAATAATTGACTATCCGTCAGCTAAGTTGATAAAAAATTAAGAAAAAAAAATGGCAGACACTTCTGAAGGGGTTGACATAGGGACATACTACCCTAAAATTGTATGTTCAAAAATTCCAAAAAAAGTGTTTGATTTAATCTGCAATTTTTACATCGTGTTTATTATGTGTAATAAAAATTCTAACAAAAGGGCAGACAGTTTCTCCGGGGGTTAGTAATTTAAAAATATTTAAATAAATCTTGCGTTGAAAGAAGACAAATGTGCTACGGGTTGACATTCACAACACGGTTTTTATTGTGAAAATAAAAAATCATGATATACTTCTGATACAAACCTTCTTTTGAAAGTGTCTAAATGTGTTTTCAGTAACAGCAGTGCCCTCTGTATACATTGCAATGCTGCTTCTTCTGTCATATGCTCATAGATGTTCTGTTTGTCAGTTATGTTCTCTGGATTCTTCTTCTCTTCATTTTCCACAGTTTTTGTCAAGGCAGCTTCCTCATTGTTCTGGCTGTTAGATATTAATCTTTCTGCGGCCGATGAGAGATGGAACATGCATTTGGAGACAAAGTCGTCCTCTTGTTGTAATTGTTGACCCATGTAGTAGCTGTTTAAATATTGTATTGCACCCATTGAAACATCTGCAGGAATTGATTTACTCATTAGAAAAATGATAAATAATAGTTATTTTAATACATAATTCTTTAAAAAAAAATTGTATACTTAAATGAGTAAGTAACTTAAAAGATAATTATAAGCATCAGTTACCTGTGCTATTTGCCCTTAGTGCGATCTTCCACAGGTGGTCCATTGCAAGCGTGTGTGGATGTGCTGCATCCCGGGAGTCGCCAGAGCCCAACGCCATACGAGCCAGGTTGCACAGCTGCTGGTACAGGCTCAGCCCCATGATACTTATTGTCTGTAGGAAATATAATTTACACTTCTATAATACGAATAACAACCAAAAAGAAGAAGTTAAATAGAATATTCTTACGCAAAGTCATTTAAGAAATAACACGTGTTTTGATAATCATCTAATTTAATATATTGAAGCGAGCTTAGACTTATCTCCCACCAGCTCGACACGCCGCCTGTTTTTAGCGAGTCTTCTTTCACATGCATAATTAAAAACTATCTAGCACGCTGCGAGTCTCATCAGCAGATGAAAGCTTTTAAAAGACGTCAATATATTAAAGTCGTTCATTTCGTTTAGGCGTTGATGCGTCTATCAGTGATCGTGTTATATACGTATATAGCTATGTTAGGATCCGATAGATTATGCAGCATTTAAGTTCTTAACATATTCTATATTTATGTTACAAAATGACTCAAATCCACGTATATTGGGTTAGTGTAACAAAAAGAAAATCATAAAACCTAGACAAAATAAGTAGCGCTGTAGTCGAATAATTAATTAATTTCATATTCGAACCAACTTTTGAGCCACCTACCGGAAAGGGCAGCACCACATCTGCTGAACCTGGTATATATTTATAACTTAACAAATATAGTTCATTAAGATAATGTCTTACTTCAGGATCCAATGTGGGCATTTTCTCGACGTACAAGAATCGCAGCGCGTCAAGGCCTAGCGCGTGCTGCTCGGGTGACTTGGTGTGTGACAGCAGCCACGAGTACAAGCAGTCTGCGCATTCGCTGCTGCCACGCACCACAAGGCATTGCCATAACTCCTCAACTTGTTCCACGGTCAACCTGAATGAATTAATGACGATGAAGAAATGTCGTTGCAATGTGCAAAATGTTGTCGACACAGCTGCGGTTGGTAAACTTAATAAAGTCTAGTTTGAAAGAAATTAATAAGTTATTCAACACAATGTATCACACCCTATGCAAAGGCAAAAAAAGATAATATTACTATGGAATATTTTAGTAGTATTCTCGTAGGGATTGATGTATATAAAAATTATGAATAAAGGGCGCGATATTATATTATCATTACTACTATGATTCTATTCTTTTTTTTTAATATAGAATAGGGGTGACAAACGAGCACACAGTCTACCTGATGATAAGTGGTTGCTGTGGCCCATAGACATCTACATTTATCGTCGTTTGCGAATCAAAATGGAGATGCGTTGTCATCCGTGAGGACTAAGATGGAATGCCTCTTTTCCAGTAAAAAGGGTCTCCGGTTGTCTACACACACCATACGAAACACAGCAGTGTTAAACTGCTATTTTACGCTGGTATTCTGTGAGAGCGTGGTCCTTCGTCAGTCGAGCCGACCCATTCGTCCTACAACTATACTACTAATATAGCTGTAGCATGGCTCTACCACGTACAAGAAACCTATACAGATACCTACAAATATAGTAGGTGTAATTTACATAAGATATAATTTTGAATATGTATTTAAAGAAATATATCTCTCTAGTCAAAATGCATGTAAATGGCTGCATTAATTTTTCTTTTCACACAATACTTTTGACTAAACCTATTCACAGAATTTTTTTAGTTCTTTGAAGTCTGCTCTTTCTTATTATTTAAAATTTAATTGAAAATAATATTTATAAAATTGGTTTTAAGAGTAGGTTTTGGTGGCGTTCTGCATTCTGCAAAAGGTTTTTGCAGGTCACAAAAGTATTTCAATTGACATTGGTAGGACCATATTACTTGATAGACCTGTGTCAATCGTGAATGATTCGTTCATTTGACCCGGATCACATCAAACTATTGATAATTACAGTTACATTTTTGAATGTTCCGGATCAAACGATTGACAAGACCTACGACCAAAAAGTATAGTAATGTCTGATGACCAACACTATCGAGCCGGTTTCACAGATCACGGAGTACTGAAATTCGAAATAAAGCAGTTCTTAAGACAAATAAATAGTTGAATGATCGGGGGCAGTAGGAATGAATGAATGGCACATGTGTGTTATAGTACGGTGGAGTGACGGGAAGTGGTGCGGTGAGCCGACGGGCGAGAAGATGGCGGTGAGGAAGTGCAGGCGCACGGTGAGCTCGGTGATGTGCGCGTAGTGCTGTGCGTCGCCGGGCGCGCGCGGCGCGCAGCTGTAGTGGCGCAGGTCCTCCAGGAACAGCCGCATCATGTACTATAGTAAGGCGGACTGACCGGAAGTGGTGCGGCGAGCCGACGGGCGAGAAGATGGCGGTGAGGAAGTGCAGGCGCACGGTGAGCTCGGTGATGTGCGCGTAGTGCTGTGCGTCGCCGGGCGCGCGCGGCGCGCAGCTGTAGTGGCGCAGGTCCTCCAGGAACAGCCGCATCATGTACTATAGTAAGGCGGACCGACCGGAAGTGGTGCGGCGAGCCGACGGGCGAGAAGATGGCGGTGAGGAAGTGCAGGCGCACGGTGAGCTCGGTGATGTGCGCGTAGTGCTGTGCGTCGCCGGGCGCGCGCGGCGCGCAGCTGTAGTGGCGCAGGTCCTCCAGGAACAGCCGCATCATGTACTATAGTAAGGCGGACTGACCGGAAGTGGTGCGGCGAGCCGACGGGCGAGAAGATGGCGGTGAGGAAGTGCAGGCGCACGGTGAGCTCGGTGATGTGCGCGTAGTGCTGTGCGTCGCCGGGCGCGCGCGGCGCGCAGCTGTAGTGGCGCAGGTCCTCCAGGAACAGCCGCATCATGTACTATAGTAAGGCGGACCGACCGGAAGTGGTGCGGCGAGCCGACGGGCGAGAAGATGGCGGTGAGGAAGTGCAGGCGCACGGTGAGCTCGGTGATGTGCGCGTAGTGCTGTGCGTCGCCGGGCGCGCGCGGCGCGCAGCTGTAGTGGCGCAGGTCCTCCAGGAACAGCCGCATCATGTACTATAGTAAGGCGGACTGACCGGAAGTGGTGCGGCGAGCCGACGGGCGAGAAGATGGCGGTGAGGAAGTGCAGGCGCACGGTGAGCTCGGTGATGTGCGCGTAGTGCTGTGCGTCGCCGGGCGCGCGCGGCGCGCAGCTGTAGTGGCGCAGGTCCTCCAGGAACAGCCGCATCATGTACTATAGTAAGGCGGACCGACCGGAAGTGGTGCGGCGAGCCGACGGGCGAGAAGATGGCGGTGAGGAAGTGCAGGCGCACGGTGAGCTCGGTGATGTGCGCGTAGTGCTGTGCGTCGCCGGGCGCGCGCGGCGCGCAGCTGTAGTGGCGCAGGTCCTCCAGGAACAGCCGCATCATGTACTATAGTAAGGCGGACTGACCGGAAGTGGTGCGGCGAGCCGACGGGCGAGAAGATGGCGGTGAGGAAGTGCAGGCGCACGGTGAGCTCGGTGATGTGCGCGTAGTGCTGTGCGTCGCCGGGCGCGCGCGGCGCGCAGCTGTAGTGGCGCAGGTCCTCCAGGAACAGCCGCATCATGTACTATAGTAAGGCGGACCGACCGGAAGTGGTGCGGCGAGCCGACGGGCGAGAAGATGGCGGTGAGGAAGTGCAGGCGCACGGTGAGCTCGGTGATGTGCGCGTAGTGCTGTGCGTCGCCGGGCGCGCGCGGCGCGCAGCTGTAGTGGCGCAGGTCCTCCAGGAACAGCCGCATCATGTACTATAGTAAGGCGGACTGACCGGAAGTGGTGCGGCGAGCCGACGGGCGAGAAGATGGCGGTGAGGAAGTGCAGGCGCACGGTGAGCTCGGTGATGTGCGCGTAGTGCTGTGCGTCGCCGGGCGCGCGCGGCGCGCAGCTGTAGTGGCGCAGGTCCTCCAGGAACAGCCGCATCATGCCGCGCTCGCGCTCCGCCCACATCACCACCTGCACACATGCACCGCACCCTGCTCACCTCATCTCATGTCGACATCCACATAGGACCGCCACGCGCTCTAATTACGTTTCCAAATATGGGCTAGAAGGAAAAAGTCGTGGTTGCCCACGACCTTTTCTTGCAGTGCAATGGACTTCAAAATACTGTAAGTTCATTCTACGCAGATCAGAACAAAAAATAATATTTTTTTTATAGAATAGGGGTGACAAACGAGCACACAATCCATCTGATCGTAAAGTGGTTGCTGTGGTCCATAGACATCTACATCTATCTCCGTTTGCGAATTAAAATGCAGACGCGTTGTCAGCCGTGAGGACTAAGATGGAATGCCTCTTTTCCAGTAAAAAGGGTCTCCGGTTCTCTACACTCACCACACAAAACACAGCAGCATGAAGCTGCTATTTTACGCTGGTATTCTGTGAGAGCGTAGTCCTTCCCCCTCGAGCCGACCCATTCGTGCTACAACTATACTATTAATATAGCTGCAGCATGGCTCTCCCACGTATAATTAGATAATATTCAGAAACTGAATGAATGATGATAATAGTCAGAAACTGAAGGTAGCCGGGCCAACTATGACACCGGGACGTGAAACACCTCAGTCCCCCTGTGACCATGTATGCAGTAAAACACCCGAACGTCGGGAATTAAAAAGTTAAATTTAACGCGAAAAAATCCCTAAAATTAGTTTAACTTAATGTGTAGTTAAGTTAGTGTGTCTTACTTATTACAATATAAGTAGTTCAATAAGTCATGTATTTCCAGTTATACAAGAATTTCAATATTATATATTGTACAAAACAAAAATTATGTAATCTATATTACTACGTAAATACATCGGTTATATTAACCCTGCATATTAGTACTTTTCATAAACGCGCATTGACTGTGTATATCGCTAGGCAGGTGTAGTAAATATAGTAGGTTGACGTAGTTGGTGAGCACAAAATCGATATACTGACACTGATGTATCTAATTGACCAGAAACGCCTCGGGCGGTTCCGATAATGGAACGGAGAGGAAGGAATTGAATGAATTACTGTAATTCCTGCGCAATCTCCCCGAAATTTATAAAGTACCGAAAGATTTGCTACTTTTTCGAATGGATATCTCTATATATCGGTTATTTGAAAAATTTTAAAATCAAGTAAATACAAATATATCCATCAGATGTGATTTACCTGATGCATATCCATTCCTCGTAACTGTTGAAATGATGAAAACAACTTCGGTAACAAACGTAAGGAAACAGCAACAGATCTAAAAAAAAAAATTAAGAAGAGTAATTAGTTCAACAAAAACTATAAATTAATTTTCCTTTATTACTTTACTAAATTAGACGATCTCGAAAAGGATAAGAATTTAAAAATTTTACATCATAAAAATCAGATTTCAATTTTACACTTGGAACAGGTTGTTAACAATATTAGGTTTTTTTACAGCAGTGTTACCATGTTGTCACTCCATCCAGTTGAAGATCGCCCGACACTCCGCTTGCTGATACGAGGCTACCACTCCAAAACCTTTCTTCCTTAGCTTGCTTAAGAATCGACAACCGATGGTTCTCAATTCTTCAAGCTATATTATGTCCGGCCCATAGCCACTTATTTACTTCAGAACACTGTTCCGTTGCTCTATGTCCGTTACTCTGGTTCTAATGCGGATATTCTCATTACAAAGTCTATACGAGCACAGCTCGCTAAATGACCTTGAGCTTTCTCATATGACAAGTAGTACTAAATGGAGTGACGACCTGGTCAGAGATGCAGAAAGTTGATGGATGCGGGTGGTTTAGGACCGTGTTTTGTGGCAATCCTTAGGGGAGACCTATGTTCAGAAGTGGACTTGTAATGGGCTATAATAATTGTGATGATCATAAAAGTGTTATTTTGCGCTCTATTCAAAACAACGCACTTACCTATGATTAGCTAAATTGTCAAGACAGCCCTCAATAAATTTGATACGAATAAACTTGTCTGTGCTAAAACACAATAACGCGCAAAGCGCCTTTTCTGCTTCTAGCGCAAGTCCCTCGCCAAGTTGTTCCTAAAACATAACAATTTCGGCGTAAAATAATCTGTAAAATGGATTTACGCATTGCTTTATATTGACAAAGTATGTTAACGGCTTCGTGGCGCAGTGGCTTAGCTTCGTTCATAAATCCTTGTGCAGCTTAACGTCTTTTTTATAATAATAATTGTTTATTATCAAAAATAGGTTCTGTCCGAAGATAATTATGATAATGACGATAAGGTAGGATAGGATAGGCAAGTACAAAAGCGTTTTCTACGTTTTCTGCAATTTAAGACGCAATTTTACACTGATAACTACTATGGTAATGTTGACTGTGTCCGGAGCTACAGAGTAAGTTAGGATTTACAACAAGAGCCACCCTATTGAGAAAGCCTCGCTTACTCCACGTGCCGCATACCCGGAATAAATACAGGCAAAATTCTTTTAAGATACGTGCATGTAGAACTTTTAATGACATTTCCAATAGCGTTGACTTGGATCTGTTTAATACCAGTATTTCTCGATTAAAAAATATTTTAGCGTAAAAATTATTTTGTATTCTTCTGTTTAAGTTTGTTAATTTTCTGTATTTGTCTTAATCGATGTTTATCTTTTACCGACTAGAATTGTTACGGCGTGCAGCTGCCTATCCAAGAGTAGGATCTTCCCGGCCCATGAAGGAAGATCCCACAAGCAGATGCAGGTCGGGCCTCCTAAAGCCAAAGTGGAAAATCTCTAATTACAATAAACAATAAGGGGGAGCGTTCTATCCTACTGCCATTCAACAGGGAGAATATTAAAACCGAGCTTACCTACCTATATCCAAGGCGACTGGTCCCTCAGGGTTTGGTCAGGTCGCATGTGGTTGTATGGTGCATGGGAAGTCAGGGTCAGTAATGTGTATCTGTGTGTGACTGAGTGTGGTAGACCTTATGAGACCGTTGCCGTCGGCAGCAGCTCGGACTTCAGCACCGCTCCAAATTGTGGTAATCTTCCGCGGAGTCGTCCACAGTCACTTTCTTCGTTCGTCACGAGGACAGTCCTTAACTTTATCGCACAATTAACTAACTTCCAGAAGCCACTAACTCTAATTTGTTATAAAGCGTAACACCCAACACAAATACAGAATGTCGGTCTATACGAAATCCCGTTACTATAAGCAAAAACGTAACACACCGCACGAACACGAGTGTCCGGATCAAAGTTCACTACCGTTTCGCGTGGCAACAATTATTTCTAGAATATCAAATGCCGCAGTAGTAGCTAATATTGTCGAATACCCTTATACAGATTCTGAGTTAGACACAAGAAGTCCCGGGAAAAGCTCTCAAACAAGGAATGCGCGATACGAATGCTAGACAGTATATTTACTAGGCACGCCTAAAATATTCCGCGTTCCCGCACAAAAAAATGACAGCGTGCTGTCCCAAGCACAGCTGGCAAACGACCCCTGCGCTCGCGCGCCCTCGCCACACCACTCGACCGAACGTCAAAACCGGTATGGCGCCGAGCCGAGCGCCCTCTGGCGTCAAATTCCGAAACCAGCGTTCGGGCGTGAACAAGAATTATTATTTTTAAGTTCATATTGCTCATAGGTGAAAACTTTTAAATGGTCTTCTAGTTGTTATTAATTTATTTATCGCTAATGTTAGCTGTAAGTTTTCCAAAAAGAATAAAATAAAAAATAAAAAACTGCAGTATACTAGCCAGTGCGTAAACTGCGCTTATACGACTCACAATAACGCCGTCCTACAGAAAGACTAAGAGTAGTATGTTGCGAGGTTCATGCTAAGCGGCAGCAATACTGTGTATGAAAACCTAATGTATAAAAAATGCGGTCATACGACTCACAATGGCGCCGTCCTGCAGCAAGTCCCAAAGCAGCGTGTTGCCAGGTCGACACACATCGTCCACGCTGAACGGCAACGGCGCCGCTGGCGATGGCGGCCTTGCACCGCGATACTCAGTCAGACATTGCGCCTAGACAAATCAAACAACTTTTTAAGGCTTCTAAACGGGCCATGTTTTTCGGCAATGTGTGGCTGCAATACTGTGGCCGGTAACATTGCTAACAATACCGGTCATACTATGCAATATTTTAAGTATAGCCCAGCAATTTTATCCACATATTTTTAGTATGTCAAAACATTAATTATCCTTTGTAGCTGGTGTATGGCCGAACGATCGCTTCGCAATCGAAAATACTGCAATGTTGTTGGGCCATCTATATTGTTTTTTCATTTTACTGTACATGCGCATCCCTTTCACCCTTTCAATGCGACGTGAAGTAGGCTGCGCACCACTTTCTGCGTGACGTGAAGTGTGCTGCAAAATTCATCGCGTCATGCATCCTGTCCTTCCCAAAGATATTAAAAAATATTTTTTATTTTTTAATATCTTAGATTGTGCGGCCCATTTAGGAGTCAAAATTACTGGCCATACTATTGCAGCTATATCGTAACATATAGCCTAGCAAATGATTGCTTAACCACGTTTACCAGTAACCGCAGCCACGCATTGCCGGAAAATATGGCCCGTTTAGGCCTTTACACATATATAACTTTAATCCACCCAATTACATACGCACTTAATATACTTCAATAAAACTTTTCTCCGTATAGGGTTGCAACCGTAAGCTAAGTTTTTATTATGTATTCATTTATTTTTGAAGAGCGAATTTCAGCATTCTTTTAATAAATAATTGCATAAAAGCTTGAATAAAAAATTCGAGTCCAGTTGCGTCAAGTATCCTAAAGATCACCACTTTTAACAACAATGTGGACAATGTTATCATTCATATGTACTTAGAAGTATTCCGTTAATTTGAAAGCTGTAGATTTTAGCGGGGTTAAAAGAATATTAATTCTTGTAGAAGACATAAAATGGAAGCACAATTTAATTAGATGATGAACATATTTTTTTTAAAATTTGATGAATAAAAACTTAACAAACGAGCTTTTAAAAAAAAAGTATAGAAAAATATTACTTGTGCTGCCAGTCTAGCCAGTTCCTCCTCACACGCTGAGTCGTCTTCGTCTAAATCCGGCAGATGACGATGTGAGTGAGGCGAGATCACAGAAGACGCACTGCCCTCTTCCTCCTCACCACGTCGCTTATAGCTCTCCATTAACCGTAGCTCCATTAGTCTTCTAAAACAAAGTAGGGTTCATGCACCATTTCAAAACTATACACAGCCTGACCAGAAACAAAAATACCCTGCAAAAAGGTAGCTTCTTCTTGTCTTTATATGTCAATAATATACAATACAATCATGTCAACATAAATAAATCTACTGTTATTTTGGTGAAAGATCATTATCAACCAAGAATGTATTAGTTTGTTCACGAAAGAAATCCCACGGAAAATATTCAAATTAAAATATAAATTTGACAGAAAATGTCGAATTACTCGAACAAAAAAGTGAAAAAGACTTTTAATTGATCGATTATCACACGTAACGATATAAACTTGTTCATTATGGTTTTTTTCTAAGTGATTGTTCTGACCTGTTACCACTAAAATTAGTCGTTTTTAAGAGCTTTACATAATCTTGTTACAAAAAAGCTCCACCTTACATAAAATATTACAATTTTTTTGCCTTTTCCAAGCTATATTTTTCATAGCATTAAGATTTTTCGACATTCAAAATCTTGCTTGAAGTACGCCCATAAAACATACAAAATAGTTCTTAGAACAGCCATTATTCTTCAAGCAATTTTATTAAACAAAATAGAATTCAACGCTCTGCATTCATTCAATGACGACAAAGTCATAATATTGTATTAATTTTATTTTAGGGTCTTATCGACCGAAAAGTTTAAATTTTTTATTAAGAGGCGTATTACAAAAAAACGCGAAATTGTAAGGTTTCCTCGTTGAAATTGTATGTTTATCGTTCGTTGCTTGAAATAACATTTACTTGGTAAAAATAGTTCGTTTTCTCTTCTCAAATAAACTCAGAGCGGATTTTAGATAACGTATTTATTTAATCAGTAATAATCATTCTCCCGATGCATGTTTAGGCAAAAGCTCTCGAAGACATGATTTGGGAGCTATAATTTGTAGATTCTATTGAATATCGACCACCAAAAAAATATTTTTATTTTCCAAATATCCTACACTTTAATAACTATAGAATACATTTTCGTTATATGGCTTTCACGCTAGGAAAAACAATCGACATAATTCAAAATACGACCGCAAAAGCTTCGATACAAGCCACTATATTTCCGAAGTTCTACATCATTTAGACGTAAAATTTATACCAAAATAATCATCAACATTTGCTTAAACTATACTATTATTTTTACTTTTTAAATCGTTACTATTATATTTTAATTAATTAAATAAAAGTACTATATATTTCACTGCGCCGGCCATCTGCGACCACTATCGCGCGAGCGCTTGTCGAGGTTGGACCTACGTCAGTTGATTTCGCGCACTACGTCGTTTCTATACTGCCGTAGTGTGCGTCGATTGCTATCGTAGTGTGCGTCGATTGCTATCGTAGTGTGCGTCGATTGCTATCGTAGTGTGTGTCGATTGCTATCGTAGTGTGCGTCGATTGCTATCGTAGTGTGCGTCGATTGCTATCGTAGTGTGCGTCGATTGCTATCGTAGTGTGTGTCGATTGCTATCGTAGTGTGCGTCGATTGCTATCGTAGTGTGCGTCGATTGCTATCGTAGTGTGCGTCGATTGCTATCGTAGTGTGCGTCGATTGCTATCGTAGTGTGCGTCGATTGCTATCGTAGTGTGCGTCGATTGCTATCGTAGTATGCGTCGATTGCCTGCGTGCTAGAGCATCGTCAACTACGACCGCAGTTTTTGATCGATCGGTTTAAAACTATTTTATATAGTATAATTTAGATCACGTCTCTTCCATTAAACATGGTAGAGACAACGAGTATGTAGCATTGGCACAATTGAGCAAACAAGAAAATATTATTATAGAAAAATGTGGTCTATTCAATCAAAAAAATAAAGTTAAAGGTTATAAATTCAGTGATTCAAGTGTAACATTAAATCAAAATCATGACTGGTTTTACCAAATCCAAGGCCAGCTTCATTTAGGAAATAAAAATGTCTGAATACTTGCCATAATATGTACTGGCCCAGATTATGCAGTAAAAGTACTAAAAATTTACAAAGACAACCAATTTTAGATTTTCAATATGTTACCCAAGTTACAAGCTTTTTATGAAAAGTGTGTATTGCCTGAAATTATCGACTCGAGAAAAGTTCGGTCAATGCTGTCCCAGCAAATATTTTTCTAATAAAAAATATGGTAATTGACTGTAAGTACCGATTAAAAAATATTAGTTACATTTGGTTGTTTTATTTATTAAAACAGGTTGCAACCGTACTATTTATTTATTTAAACCACTATTCTACCGGTAGTAGACATAATCGATTATTAACATTAGATTACGGCGTAACAATTAAAATATTTATGTGTACTTATTTTGACACAAAATTTCATAAATAATGAAAAATAAATTATATAATTATGTAATAATAAATTAATAAGATAAAATTAAAATGACACACCAAAAAATTTTCCATCCACTGAACTCCATCCTAAGAAAACTTGTATTATGGAAGATCAAGATCGTTTAATCGCCATACTCACAGTGTTATAGTGCGAGCGAGTGAATAGATATGAAAGAAAGTGTCAGTCGCGTAGCTCGCCGCCCTCGGTGCGTAAAATAGGTAATTTGCGAAACGCCGATATGTAAGAGGGCTCTTAAGCAAAAATTATTTACTAAGGGTTATTATACTACCAAAGAGTATATTATTCATAGAGAATAGCCCCTAGGAATGAGGTGTACAAAATATTTAAAATTCATTTTATTTTGAAAAATGTCACGCTGAGTTTCTTGCTGGTTCTTCTCAGGACAGAAGGTTTTTTCGAACCAGCGGTAAAAGTAAAAAAATATATTCAATATGAATTATATGTAATCTATATTGAATAAAAATGGTTCTATTATATTTTTAACTTGATTTGAACCTGATATTCCAATAAACTTGAATCGAATTCAAAAGCAAATTTCGACACTTACCTTGCGTCGACATTATCACACAAAAGCTGACAGTGCGCTGTGTCGCTACCCGATGACTCTTCTTCAACTTCAGAGACGGACTCGGCAAGGTCAGCCGTTTTTAGTTGGGTTGCTACTAAACAATTGGTATATTAATTTTTTATTAATATTTTCACTAAATAAATTATGACAAATTCATAACAAAATGTAATCATAAGATCATTTTATTAACATAAGAGTAAAATGACAAGTCCACAAATATCCCATTGCCGGGTGCAGCCAGAAGCTCCATTTCTTTTATAGGATAGAGTGACAAACGAGCACACAGTCCGCCTGATGGTAAGTGATTGCTGTGACCCATAAACATCTACATTTATCCTCAATAAAGAATCAAAATGCAGATGCGTCGTCACCCGTGAGGACTAAGATGGAATGCCTCTTTTCCAGAAAATTGGGTTTCCGGTTCTCTACACTCACCATACGAAACACAGCAGTGTCAAGCTGCTATTTTACGCTGGTATCCTGTGAGAGCGTGGTCCTTCCCCGGTCGAGCCGACCCATTCGTGCTACAACTATACTTCTAATATAGCTGCAGCATGGCTATACCATGTATAAAAACCATTACCCATTACCCAACATTGCCTTGAAACGGCGGACGGACGTCACATATGCTCGTAATATTTTAATATATCATAAACACGCAGGTTTCCTCGTGTGTTTTCCTTAACCACTGAACATGTAAATTTGATTTTATTTAATTGAAATTGCAATTAACAATATCGGCATAGTGGCACTGTGGATTAAAGTCAGATTACTCGATTTATTTTTAGGTGCACACCCTGCCCCTCCTGAGCTGCTAAGCCATGTTATCGGTTGCGAAATACAACAAAGTTTTTTTTTTTTAATATGTTGTATCTAATATATAAAAAATAATTTTTGTTTGTTCGTATTTTATGTACTGCCACACCGTTTATCAGATTGCGATAAAATTTTGTTAACTTATTGCTTGAACTTGCGCGGACATTATAGACATTAACTTAAAGCAGGTAGCGCTCGTATCGTACCGACAAATTTATTTGAAAGCTATATATCACCATTATTATCATTCCTAATTAAACAATATAACCCAGCCAAATTTAAAACGATATTTCCACAATTAAGAAATAATTGCGGTTGCAACGCGCCGAGTACCAGCTAGTATTATATAAAAATAATATTTATGAACATAAAGTTTTTTCTTATTACATTATCTCAATAGCTATGCAAGACAATATTTGTGATTAAAAAAACTCATTGTATTTATTATATTTGTATGACCGTGCACTCACGGAAATGCCTCGCTTTGCCGGGCTTGTGGCGCTTCTTATACAGTTTCTTCTTGCGAGGACGCAACATTTCCTCTGCCCCGCTGCTAGCACTACCACTGCTGCCCGCACGTTTACTACGCCTGAAAAAGTTTATCGATCTAATAATTGTTTCTTTTTCGGTAGTGGAGATAGTAGATTTAAAAGCAAATTAACGTTTGACAAACAAAATTTTAACCAAGATCAAAAAACGAGCAGATTCACAATATTTGACAAATATAACAGCTTCCGAAGCTTTAGTCGTAATTCTTCGATACACTTTATCTTAGTACCTACTTCAGAAGCTATAATGTGAAAAATATTTTTTATATTATAATTGTAACGTAAAAAAATAAATATATTTTATTACATTTCCTCCCTTCCACATTTGTCTATCAAACGACAATATACGCTTGAAGTCATCCTCACATTGTTGACGTGTCAGAAGCGTATAAAGCTTTTAGTTTATCGTTTCTGCTGCGCCAAGGCAAATGATTGGAATTCTGCTTATCACAATTTAGGCTAATGTTTTTCATTTATCATTAGTCATTACACTAGGTGGGATTGTGGTCTAACTTTTACCTTTTAATAACATAATAGATATTGCAATTCAAGATTAATAAGAAAATTTTCTTTATGATCAGCAGGTACTATTACCACTCAGTGATACGACTTATTAATAAACCCACTTTTTTTTTTAAATTACACAGCAATACTTACTTATGACATGACTTAAGAGTAGGACATTCTTTTTTAGTGAGCTCTTCTCCTTCACGGAGCCAATCTTGTTCAGCTGAAAATATAAAATAACCATAAGACAATGAAAAAATAAACACAGTAATAAGTGAAAGTCCAGTAATATAATTTGGCATGATAGTGATGACATATCGATCTGAGACATGGTCTTTCACTCCTGACCACATGAGAAAGCTCAAATCAAAGTATTTTAACGAGTTATGGAGGGCTATGCTCTGAGTTTCTTTCGTGATAGACTTTGTAAACCGACATTGCACAACAAATCAGTAGCTGGAGTGACAATAGGCTGACCATATTTATAGCTGGAAGAACCGACAATCGATCGGGAAGAAAGCGCAGTGTAGGGCGGCCTCACACTAGATGGAATGACGAACTTTTAAGAGATGCAGGTAGAATGGTTGAAATTGGTTCTTGACCCTGCTGTGTCTCTTTGGGAGACCCATATGTTTGTTTATGTATTTCCATAGCATAATGTCGAATAGTATTTTGCTATGGCGACCCGCGACTGACTCTGAAATTACTTTTATTTTACAGAAGGGGGCTATAAGAGCAATCTATGATTTAAAACCTAAAGAGTCGTTCCGACAAAAATTTAAGGAAATGAATATATCAATTTTGACCTTTCAATACATTTATAAAAATGTAATGTACGTTCACGAAAATAAATTAAAATTAAAAATTTTGTACAGCCTATTTCAATATAAGTTATTAAGAATAACTCAAATAACTCGAAAACTATTGGTCTGACTTTGATCAAATTCATACGGGACCACACGAGAAGTATCAGCTTTCATATAAAAAAAGAATCATCGAAATCGGTCCACCCAGTAAAAAGTTATGAGGTAACACACAAAAAAAAAACATACGCGTCGAATTGAGTAGCGTCTCCTTTTTGGAAGTCGGCAGATAAATATAATATAAATACCAGGAACAGACACAAGTTAATAGTACCAGTTACTCGACTCCAACGAGTCAGTAATTCATACTCAGGGTGATGTATACACAGTTACAACAAAATCCCAGAAAATATAAAAAATTTGACCTGCTTAAAGTTCAAAAACTTTACTGAACTAAATTTGTATAAAAAGGGTTATTATAATATAAAGGAATATATTGATGATAATAAGTCCTGGTAATGAGGTGATCGCTACCGAACTTTCTAATTTGTTTTGTGTTGTTAATTGTGTAACATACATGATTCTAGGCTGTGTGTGTTTTTCTGCTGGGTTTCTTGCTGCTTCTTGCCAGAACAGAGGTTTTTTTCGAACCAGTGGTAATTAAAGAAAAGAGTGACTTTCAATAAGTATTATATAGAATCTATATTGAATAAAAAAAATCTGTTTCTGTTTCAGCAGGGAACTTGTGATGGGCTGTAATGATGATGATGATGACAAGTAATGCTATTTTAGAAAAGTTTACCAGTCAATTCACGTTGATGCTTGCTTTGTTTCCGCGGTGTCGGACCGGCTTCTTCGCCAGACGTGCTTAATTCTTCACACTGTGAAAGAAAACTATATTAAATACTATACTTAACTATACTAATATTATAAAGAGAGAGTGCGTGAATTTTGTGAGTTTGTATATATGTGGAGGGTAATATCCGGAAGCACTAGATCTATTTGAAATTTTCTTACACTTTTGGAAAGGTACATTATTCCAGATGGTCATAGGCTATATATTATGTGTATATTTTATATTAAGGCTAAAAGTTATGATGATATTTGTCAACTCATCCGGAAAAAGTAGTGCCTCTTGAGAGCTTCCACTGCATGTGCTGCATTAATGGTTAAAATTACACGAAAATAATGTATAGCTGAATTGTTGCTCTTAAAAAGTTCCGAAAAAAAGTCCGCGACAGAATATGTCTATCTTCTAAGGATAACTCACAATAACCATTTTTATATAAAAACTCTCGCACGATAATATAATTATGATGATGGTCAGTGCGGCAATGACGGGAGGATGTATGCGAAGAGGGATATAACGTGTCAAAGTGAGCATCCCGAACGTCACGCCAAAAATAAATCGGCCACTTAGCCCAGGAGGAATCGGCGCATGAATACCGAAAACTATTCCTCGTCAATTCTTTTACGCGATTCTCTATACCTTAAGAAATGTACAAAAAAAATGTTTTTACTATTCTCGCTTGAGGATATTATTAACTAGGTATTGTCTAAAAGTCTAAGGAATATAAAAAAGTACAAACTATTGGTAAATCCAATTGTGCACGCCATAAGTGAATTAAAAATATTCCGTATAACATGATTATACGTAATTTTTTAAAGTAGTTTAAATACACACAAGTTTTCACTAATAACCTTGCCGCTGCAAACAACCGATACAGTATCTACTCAGGACGGCGGCTGAGCCCGAAGTGAGTGAATGAGGGAATCTATTTAGTAAAATAAATTATTACAAGGCTGCTCAAAACACCGAAAACTTCGGAAGTTCTCAGCCGAAAAAAATTAATTATAACTAAACAAAAGAAAATTAAACTGCCATTTACATTCCATGGCTTCCCACATGATAAATGAAGAGATTAAAAATAGATTGTGTTGAAAAATTGATATTTTCAAAAGTTATCGTGTTTACCCCTCCATGCGCACTTGATAAATCCACACCATAAGCCACTAAAACCACTTTTTTATGTAAAAATTACAATTGATCGATTTAAAAAAGAAATTAATAAGTTCAACAATTATTTAACTTTGTAACAATGTGCTTTTTATATCATTTATATGTACAATATGATTGTTAGATACGATTTCATGCGATAAAACGTTGGAATCTTGATTTTTAACCGCTAGTAGAACATCCTACACGCGCATAATGCAATATATAATATCTTTCATATATTTTTTTTCTTAATATATTTTCAAGTAAAATTTATCCGAATTCGGAATTTTTCAAAACAACTCTGAAAATATTAACTTTATCGTAAAAAATCATAAATCTTTTTTTTATTATACAGAGAACGCTGTGTATTACTTACAGGAATTCCTGAACTCCCTTAACCCTTCAGTACTTCCCCCTCACACTCTAAAAATTAAAGTCGTTATTCCAATAACTTTATTACGAAACCTGAATCCGCCTAATCTGTGCAATGGAACTAGACTTCAAGTAAAATCGCTACGTAATAATGTGATTGAGAGTATTATTCTTACGGGACCAGCGGGTCAGTTGGGTCATATTCCCCGCATACCCATGATCCATACAGATTTACCTTTCTAATTTAAGCGATTATAATTTCCAATAAAATTTTTCATCAACAAATCCCACGGCGTGATGAAACTTAACTGAACTGTACTTAGTGCTAAAATAAAAAATGTATTTTAAAATAAACAGACGAAAATGAAAAAACTAGACTGAAACGAATTGTACATTCGGCCGCACGTCGAATGTTTATTCAGAGCATCTTATCTTTTCTCTGAAGCTGGAATTGTCTACGAGAAGAAAAGGACTAAAATACTACCTGAAAATTCAGAGTTTTTTGTTTATAGGAAAGGGGGCAAACGAGCATGCGGCTCACCTGATGGTAAATGACTACCACCGCCCATGAACAACTGCAACACCAGGGGAACCAGGGGAATTGCACATACGTTGCCGGCCTTTTAAAAAGAAGTAGGCTCTTTTCTTGAAGGTCCCTAAGTCGTATCGGTCCGGAAAAATCGCTGATGGTAATCGATTAGTCATTTTGCATCATAATCTTTCACTTTTAAATTTCAACTAGGATAATTCAGGTGCATAGTTATTTATTTGCTAGTTTTTGTTAATTTTTATAAAATGGAAGTTGATTATGTACCCTTTTTATAGGATAAGTGTGACTAACAAGCACACAGTTCACCTGATAGCAAGTGGTTGCTGTGGCCCAGAGACATCTACATCTATACTCGATTACGAATCAAAATGCAGATGCATTGTCACCCGTGAGGACTAAGATGGAATGCCTCGTTTCCAGTAAAAAGGGTCTCCGATTCTCCACACTCGCCATACGAAACACAGCAGCGTTAAGCTGCTATTTTACACTGGTATTCTGCGAGAGCGTGGTCTTTCCCCGGTCGAGCCGAGCCATTCGTTCTACAACTATACCAGATATATAGCTGCAGCATGGCTCTACCACGTATACGTAGTCAGGTCATAAGTATTGTCACACAGTAAAAACTTTTCTTTTAGAATGCTGGCCACAAAAAAGTTTATTGAATTCGAATTTCGAATTGTTCATGAAAATATAACTGTATACTTTTTAGAATTTTACTCATTTTTAAATATGGAGTGGACGCTTAAAGAAGACCGTGTTGCAGTTAATGCGTTGCATCGTTGCGGTTACGCGCCAATTCAAATTTTTGACATACTGAAAAATTTGAATATTACCAAAAGATTCGTTTATCGTACCATCAAACGATACAATGAAGACTCTAGTGTAGATGACAGGTCAAGAAGTGGTCGCCCTCGGTCTGTTAGGACTCCAGCAGTGATAAAAGCTGTGAAGGCGCGAATTCAAAGAAATCCCAAACGTAAGCAGAAACTGTTGGCCCTTCAGATGGGGTTAAGCATAACCACGGTGAATAGGGTGTTAAATTAAGACTTAGGGCTTCGGGCATATCGAAGAAAAACAGGACATCGTTTGAATGCTCGTCTAATGGACCTGAGACTGAAGAGATGCCGCGCTTTGTTGAAGCGGTACGCGGGAAAAAAATATCGGGAAATTCTTTTTTCGGATGAATAAATTTTTACCGTAGAAGAGAGCTACAACAAACAAAATGATAAGTTGTACGCACACAGTAGTGAAGAAGCGAGCAACCGTATTCCACGTGTCCAACGAGGTCATTTTCCATCCTCGCTCATGGTATGGTTGGGAGTTTCTTATTGGGGCTTAACAGAGGTACATTTTTGTGAGAAAGGTGTAAAAACGAATGCAGTTGTGTATCAAAATACAGTCCTGACGAACCTTGTGGAACCTGTTTCTAATACCATGTTCAATAACAGGCACTGGGTATTCCAACAAGATTCGGCGCCAGCTCATAGAGCGAAGAGCACACAAGACTGGCTGGCGGCGCGTGAAATCGACTTCATCCGGCACGAAGACTGGCCCTCCTCCAGCCCAGATTTGAATCCGTTAGATTACAAGATATGGCAACACTTGGAGGAAAAGGCGTGCTCAAAGCCTCATCCCAATTTGGAGTCACTCAAGACATCCTTGATAAAGGCATCCGCCGATATTGACATGGACCTCGTTCGTGCTGCGATAGACGACTAGCCGCGCAGATTGGAGGCCTGTATTCAAAATCACGGAGGTCATTTTGAATAAACTTTAGTGTCATAAGAATCTATGTTTTGTTAAGTTCATTTTGGTATATAAATGGTTACATAATGAATAAACTTGTTTCAATTATTTTATATTAAACATGTGACAGAATTTATGACCTGACTAGGTAATTCAACTATCTGATTACAACAAAATATCTTACTTAAGTATTCGGTATTCGACTGTATTATACCTAGATATTCGGTATTCGACCGAATAGGATAAAATTTGCCAAATAGGCCGAATAACAAACAATAGTCGAATATTCATTGCAAGTTTTTTACGTGGTAGAGCCATGCTGCAACTATATTAGTAGTATAGTTGTAGCACGAATGGGTCGGCTCGACCGGGAAAGGACCACGCTCTCACAGAATACCAGCATAAAATAGCAGCTTAACGCTGCTATGTTTCGTATGGTGAGTGTAGAGAACCGGAGACCCTTTTTACTGGAAATGAGGCATTCCAACTTAGTCCTCACGGGTGACAACGCATCTGCATTTTGATTTGTAATAGAGGATAGATGTAGATGTCTATGGGCCGCAGCAACCACTTACCATCAGGTGGACTGTGTGCTCGTTTGTCACCCTTATCCTGTAAAAAAAAAGTCTAGAAAAACCATATCTATTCTAGTTCTTCAAACACCCCACCTTTTAATTTAAATTTGGATCGAGTTTTTTTGTTAAAAAAATAATAATTTAAAACTATCTACACAAATCAACCACAAATAAACACCAAATATTATCTCAAATTTATTTACGTAATGTAAAAATACATCGGGAAGTTTTACCGGGTCATCGTCAGAGTTAGTTTGATCCATGCTGACGCTAGCCTCAGAGGAAGAGTTGTGATGAGGCTTGCAAGCAGGGGGCGGTTGGCGCGGCTCATCGGGAGGAGGAGGGGAACCCAGGGAACCACCGCCACCACGCGCCCACATCGCACGCATCAGTGCCGACGCCAAATACAGACTCTGGAACAGTAAAAAATTTCAACCATAAATTTCAATTAAGCCAGGTTAAGGCGCCATATTTAATAATTATATATATATATATATATATATATATATATTTATAAGTTAACGGTGGTAGAGCCACGCAGCAGTTTTTGCTGTTGCATGTATGGGCCGGCTCGAGCCGGGTTGGTACCACGACCTCACAGAATACCGGCGTGAAGTAGAAGCTCTGCTTCTGCGTTTCGTCTGGTGAGTGCAGGTGGCCGGAGGCCCAAATCCCCCCCCCCCCCCCATCAACATGGTAGCGGAATTACACGATGAACTACCCAAGGAGGGTACCAGTACCCCTGGAGAATCCCTCGCTGAGCATCCACGACCATGTTATTCCGATCCTGAGCGTGGGTGCTCAGGCTGCCCCGCGTATTCTGGGGGGGGGGGCAAAATTCCGCTCAAAACCATACCTGCTAGGGGCAAACTGAGCAAGAACACCAAGGCGACCCCTGCCACGCTATCCATGAATTTCTGCAACATCAGGGGACTTCTCTCTAACCTAAACGCCGTCCACTACCATCTCGAGACGGCGAAGCCGGCCTTGCTCTTTCTGACCGAGACGCAGGTTTCCTCTCCGGCTGATATTTCGTATCTCTCCTACCCGGGGTACAAATTGGAGCATTCCTTTGTGCCTCGGGCTGGAGTTTGCGTGTATGTCAGAGAGGACATCTGTTCTCGACGCCTCGGCAGTCTTGAAGGTTCGGACCTGTCCATCCTTTGACTACGCGTAGACAGCGACGACCATCTGCGCGTCTACGGGTGCCTCTATAGGTCCCATAGCGGTAATGCCGAAACAGACCGACTCATCGACCACGTCCAAATGGCTACAGATTCCTTGCTACAACAGGTCCCATCCGCAGAGATCGTGATCCTTGGCGATTTTAACGCCCACCATGCCGAATGGCTCGGTTCACGTCTAACCGATCATGCGGGGAGATCTGTTTATGACTTTGCCTTGGCATATGGTCTGACACAACTGGTTACTTCGCCTACGCGGATTCCAGATGTGGAGGATCATACACCTTCCCTGTTGGACCTTCTGCTGACCTCTCATCCGGACGGATATCAGGTTTCCGTCGATGCCCCTCTCGGCTCTTCGGACCATTGTCTGATCCGGAGTGTGGTGCCACTCACGCTCCCTTCGCGGTTGCGTTCTGCAGGTTGCCGCCGTGTTTGGCATTACAGCCGGGCTATTCACAATCGTCTCGGAAAGCGAATTCGACTCGGATTCGATAACTTCTCGCACCGAAACCAATAAACGCTATTCACATTTAACTTTCGGATAAAGGTCACTTAGATACATCCCATAACTATTGTATCGTCATTTAGTTACATGCATTTACGAATTTTGTAGATAAATAGGCTTTTGTATTTTTTTTAGAGTAACGCCTAAACAAAAACATAATGCAATATTTTGGTGTTAGTCATTGATATCGAATTTAAAAAATATAATAAATAACAACACTAAAATTCAGCTTTACGATTAAGTGCAAATATTGAAGTAATTATATGAAAATACGTCTTATAGATAATTGTAATTAATTTTTGTTACCTACCTTATAATTAAAAGGGTTTATTTATCTCTTCTAATCATCAATATTCGAAAAGTTTTCGCCAGCCTCAGAGCTCTCGTAAAGTTTCCGATGCAAACTGTCACAATTATCGAACACAAACGTCAAAGAAGTACGGTCACGCCCCATAGAAAAAAACCCAGACCCGACAGAAACGAGACATATCTCAGTTTTTTTGTTATTTATTATATAGTTAAATTATATCTTTTTTATATTCGATATCAATGGCTAACTCCAAAATATTGCATTATGTTTTTGTTCAGGCGTTACTCTAAAAAATTACAAAAGCCTATTTATATACAAAATTCGTAAATGCATGTAACTAAATGACGATACAATAGTTATAGGATGTATCTAAGTGACCTTTATCCGAACGTTAGATGTTAATAGCGTTTATTGGTTTCGGTGCAAGAAGTTATCGAATCCGAGTCGATTTCGCTTTCCGAGACGATTGTGAATAGCCCTGCAGGTCGGCGGATTGGGACGGAATGCGGTCTTTCTTTGCATCCTACCCATGGGGGCGGGTTTGCTTCTCGCCGGACGATCCCAGCGCTGTTGCTGACTCTGTCACTGATGTGGTGCTACAGGGAATGGAACTATTTATTCCATCATCTGTGGTACCCATCGGAGGCAGATCTCAGCCTTGGTTTGGTCGCTCCTGTAAGACTGCATTATGCAGTAAGCAGGAGTGTTATCAAGCCTGGGCTGCGGCTTCGGCGACTCGGGATGTAAACACCAGCACACTTAAAAAGAAGTATAACTTCGCCTCCAGGTCCTTCAAAAGAGTTATTGCCAAGGCAAAGTCAGAGCACATAGGCAGAATTGGCGAGAAACTAGTTCGCCTTCCTTCGGGAACCCGTGCGTTCTGGTCTCTCGCCAAGGCTGTCCAAGGGAATTTCTGTAAGCCATCACTACCATCTCTGCACAGGGAGGACGACTCACTGGCCCATGACGCTAAAGACAAAGCCGACCTTTTAGGCTCCCTTTTTGCGTCCAACTCGACTCTTGATGACGGGGGGAAAACACCGCCGACCATCCCGCGGTGTGAGTGCTCCATGCCGGATGTGCTGTTCTCACAGCGCTCGGTTCGCAAAGCACTGCTCTCCCTGGACATCCAGAAGTCGAGTGGGCCTGACGGAATCCCCCCAATTGTGCTGAGGACGTGTGCTCCGGAGTTGGCACCGCTCCTAACGCGTCTTTTCCGGTACTCCTACTCCCAAGGCGTAGTCCCGAATTCATGGAAGACAGCTTTTGTCCACCCGATCCCTAAAAAAGGCGACCGCTCAGACCCATCCAACTATAGGCCTATCGCGATCACCTCCTTGTTCTCCAAAATAATGGAATCCATTATTAACTGCCAGCTCATCCGGTACCTTGAGGATCACCAGCTGATTAGTGACCGCCAATACGGTTTTCGTCGGGGTCGATCAGCTGGTGATCTTCTGGTCTACCTGACCCATAGATGGGCGGAGGCAGTAGAGTCCAAGGGGGAGGCGTAGGCCGTTAGTCTGGACATTGCGAAGGCCTTCGATCGGGTTTGGCACAAAGCGCTTCTTTCGAAGCTTCCTTCCTATGGGCTTCCCGAGAAATTGTGCAATTGGATCACCAGCTTCCTTGCAGATCGGAGCATCAAGGTCGTTGTAGACGGTGCATGCTCTGACTACAAGCCTATTAACGCTGGTGTTCCACAAGGCTGTGTGCTATCACCAACGCTGTTTCTTCTGCATATCAATGATATGTTGCTAACTGGTAACATTCATTGCTATGCGGATGACAGCACTGGTGATGCTCTATACACCGGCCGTGCCAATATTTCTCGGGAAAACGTCGCTGAGTACCGGAACAAACTTGTGTCTGAAGTCGAGTCTTTGCTGAGCAAAGTCTCGGATTGGGGGCGACTAAATCTAGTCCAGTTTAATCCTCAGAAGACACAAGTTTGCGCGTTTACCGCTAAAAAGAACCCCTTTGTCGTATCTCCTCAGTTTCAAGGCACTCCCCTTCTTGCCTCAGCCAGTATCGGTATCCTCGGAGTCGACATATCGAGTGACGTGCAGTTTCGTGGTCACTTGGAAGGGAAGGCCAAATTGGCCTCTAAAAAGCTTGGCGTGCTCAGCAGAGCGGGACAGTATTTCATGCCGGCACACCGCCTGCAACTTTACAAGGCGCAAGTTCGGCCTCACATGGAATACTGTTCCCATCTCTGGGCAGGGGCTCCCCAGTGCCAGCTCCTTCCACTTGACCGCATCCAACGCAGAGCTGCGCGAATCGTCGACGACCGAGCCCTTTCCGATCGGCCGCATCTACCATGGGGAGTGCTCTGAGGAATTGTTCGGATTAATCCCAGCCGCCAAATTTCACGAACGCACATCGCGGCAGAACTCCCGATACCATCCACACCATCTGGATGATTGGCGGTCCACCACTGTGCGATTTAGAAGATGTTTTCTTCCTCGCACAACCTCCTTGTGGAATCGATTACCATCAGCGATTTTTCCGGACCGATACGACTTAGGGACCTTCAAGAAAAGAGCGTACTGCTTTTTAAAAGGCCGGCAACGCATCTGCGATTCCCCTGGTGTTGCAGTTGTTCATGGGCGGCGGTAGTCACTTACCATCAGGTGAGCCGCATGCTCGTTTGCCCCCTCTCCTATAAAAAAAAAAATATATTCTGTGGCCATTTTTCCTATAAAATCAACCTCAAGACATTTATTTACATTTTAAAAAAATCGTTTTAACCGATATGCAAGAGAATCTGCGGTATGGGGACAATGTCAATACATGCAGATTCCAGACTACAAAACCATCATTGATATTTTACATTAGTTTCATCTTTATGTGTCAGAAAATCATTTTCAATAATATTAGAATGAAAAACAAGCGAACAGGCTTTTAACAGTTAGTACAGTAAAGTCTGAAAGTGCAAGACCAAAACTTATTCTGACCAATTATGCTATGTATAAGGCAGCCAATTGGTTTGACAAGTAAAGCACTTATGGTAAATCCTTCATCCCAGGAATGATTTATATTTATTGTAGTCTTTGCGTTATAGCATGGTGCGGGTGACAGCTTACGGTTTAGCGTGTCTAGAGATGTAACAATGTTAAATCGATTTAAAAAGGCGATTAACGATACACTAAGCAAAACAAAAATTATCAATTAGCTATCGATAAAAAAAATTAAATCGGAACGTATATTTCTTTATAAATAAATTACAATGCATGCAAATTTTAGTTACAGTTTAATAAAAATTATGACATTATAGTTACATATTATACTATGTATTAATTTGAAAATAAAAATCATCTTGTATTTTATGTTTATTGTAACATTGATCTTAACATTAAAACAAATAAAATGACTGCCAGCTCCTTTGATTTTCAGTAAGGCGTTTATTACACCTGCAGCTTTTCAAGGCACGAGTGCAAGCGCCTTTCGCTATATTATGTGTAATGTGTGTGTATGAAAATTAAATGATTGATAAAACGTTTCGTAATTTCCAGTTGAGTTTATATTGCTTTTACTTTTGATTATTTATTGAAAATGCCAAAACGAACAAAAAATTATTACGGCGAATCAAGCGGGGGCGTTAGTCATTCCCATTCGTCTTCGAGATTATATTAAGCGAGAACAAAATGGCGGAATAAATATAAAATAAATTAATTTATTTTAAGGGTTAATTTTACCACCTCCTCTATTTATTTATTTATTTATGAATCGTAAGCTACTTAAATTTAGTATACATGAATTGCACCACCCATACTAAAATAGAATTATCTTACATATTTTTTGCTTATTTTTTGTATTCGCTTGACAGTTTTTACGACCGATTATGAGATACATCTCTAGTAATTAAAAAAAATTTAACGCTAGTAAGCACAGTACGTAACTGCGCACGCAAGTGAAATAAGTTTTTGTAACCTGGCGTAAACGAGATGTTTATATCACCCTCTATCGGAAAATCGGAAGCTACAAGATCTTTCGGGATATACAGATTCTCATAAGAAAAAAATCATTAAATCTGATTTTATAAAAATTAATATTAAGATTGTTACTTGTTTATATTATCTTAAATCTTCCTTAATAACTAATCGCCTTTTTAAAAAAAATACATTTGACATTTCATATTTTAACATGTTATAATTATTCTGTTCAATAAAGGTCCAAAAAGAAGATATAGAAGTCATTTTCACAATCAATTTAGACTTTAAAATTTACTGTGCAACATCACTTTTGCAGCTGTACAATCCAATATGACACTGCTTTGTTCTGAATTAAAAGTAAAATGTTTAATTGTCAATATCACATTATCACTGTTAACTGCTTTGCATCTGTCTTTTTGTGTTCTAATGTTTGTTTGGTTTTATTAGCATATGTCATTTTTATTTTTATTTTTCAGTTTAATCACAAGAACTGTCGAAAAGTTTACTTAAAGATAACATAGATATAAACAATTACACTGGTGATACATCACACATCACTAGAAAAGTACAAATGTAAGAAAAGTTAACAATGAGATTTGAATGTTTGTGTGATACCATGTCATATTTTAGGGTTTTATTTTCAGGAATGAGCAAACCCAGAAAAATGAGATAAAGAGATAATATTAATTATTTTATAGGATTAATAATGTTAAATTGTAGACATTTGGAAAAAGAGCAAAGCGAATAAAACTAATTTCATTAAACATTTACTCACCTGCTCAGTATGATCCTTTGGAGGTAAAGCACACAGCAGACTGTATAGATGTGTGCATGGTTTTGGTGCTAATGCTCTTATAAAACCAGGTAACAAATCATACACCTGCCGGCCACAATGTTTAAGCTGAGCTGCTGCCCACACTAATTCTATATGTTCAGGTGTAACACGACCCTCCACAGCGAGAAACTTCAGTATCATGTGTGATTGTTTTATCACCTAATAGAAACAAGAAATAACTTGTAGAACATTATAAAAAAAAAACTATTATAACATAAAACAACATCGTAGGGTAGAATTGTTTATCATAATGTCATACACAGTTAGTTAAGCTATAATCATTGCATCCTTCAAGCCAGAATCCTCCTCATCAACATTCTGAATTTTGTGTCCAAAAATATCACCTATAATAAACACTGAGATCATATTTTAAATTTACCTCAACATGTAAATTAGGTCCAAAGAGATGTTCGATGATATTATTATTTGTTAACCATGATGCAAGTTGCTGACCAGCCAATTCAGCATCAGCAGCTGGTTCTCCTGCACATAATTCATTATGGGCAGCAATATGTGCATTAATCTGGGCAACACCAGCTAGTCGCATTGTAAGTGTACTGCTATTAAAATATTTGAAAGCCAATGCGAGTCCATCACCATCAAAGGCTAGAGGAGCATCTAGAGGTTCCTTAGCTGCACCCCACATAAAATCTGCAAGCAATTTAGCAATTTACAAAATGCAATTTTTAACCTTACAACAAAAGTGTAAAAACAATATACTTTGTTGTCTCACTTTCACAACAATCTGAATGACAAAATGAAGGTTAATTTTTGTAACTGTGTTTTTGTTTATGAAATGTGTATAGTAATTTAGATTAACAGAACCTAGAAATAAAGTTTAAATAAACTCGCGATTAAAACGACTTAGTTAGGTACTTTTCCTTCTGAATTATAAATGTAAAAATAGGTAGTCAATAAAATCACTGAAATTATTTAGAAACTTAAGTTTTTAAATCAGCTGTTTAATACAACACACGAAAGGGAAAATTAACTGACTCGACTTACTGACTACTTGCTCTTTATTTTTAAATGATATGCATATTAAACAGAAGTAAAAGAACATAAAAAAAGTCTTTTTCGGTTTTGATTATTTACCATCGCACATCGTTATAATTTAAGTAGAATTCGCATGTGAGCTTGTTGCGGCTAAAGTGACGAGCACGGCACATAGTGCCTTTCTGCTCTACGCTTCTTCATTGGCTGAAGCCTATCATGATTTACCGCCATTTGGAATGTGAGAATAAAAGAAAATTAGTAATGTAAAATACTAAAGTTTAGTTCGGAACTCCAAACTCTAGCATCCGTCTGTGTGTGTACTACTTCTCTTCCCTATTTTTGCTGTCAAGCAGCAATCGATGCACTGCTGATTCCATTTGAATAGTGAGTCAGTAAAATTACAGACTTAGAGGCATACAATCTTAGCCCTCAGTTGATTGCAAGTGTCTATAAGCTGCAGTACACCATAGACACCTGCAACCAATGGTAAGTACCATGAGTTGGACTCTATGTTTGCTTGTCACATTAATTTTGTAAAAAAGTACACCAAAACATCAATGTATGTATATCCATAGTTTGGTTCAATTTCTAATCTATTTATTATAAAATATAACTAATTGTTTACACCGAGCATGCCGCTTTTTAATCTGCATAACATATTGCATACAACTTGTATTGGGCCCACTATGCCACGTTTCTATGCATTATGTGGTGCAATTATAGGCCTGCCAATTAGAAGACTAGTCAGACAAGACAATGGAACTTGTTGTTTTACTGCCAAGCTATTTACACAATCACCCAAATTTCAACCATCCCACTGTACATACATTTAATTATTTTATAAAATTTAATTCATAACAATATAATTTTTTTTTGCCTTTTTTGTATTTTTCTTGTTCTGTCAAGAACACTAATATTTCTGAAACATATTAATCTCTACACTTTTCTAACAAATTGACTTTCCTGCCATGAAATCTGTCAAATACTTCACCTAATTTCTTAGTGGCTTCATCCTGGTGGCAGAAAAATTGTGGATGCCCTCATTCATAAAACTGTATTAATCCCTAAAGTATGGTAGTGAAAGTTGGGTGTGGCAGAAGAAGCAGAAGAGTAGAATAAATACTGTAGAAATTAAGAAGTATTTCAGGGCTGAATCTGAATGACAGGGTGAGAAATTGTGTGATAAGAGAAGAGAAGATTGTTTGGTTTGTAAGATTTGACCAGGATTAAGAAAGGAATGTTTCAGTGGTTTGGTCATGTAAAAAGAGTTAATGAAGCTTTCCTCATTAACTCATAGTAATAAAGCAAATTCATGTTGCAGAAGTGAACGGCAGAACCAGCAAGGGATGCCCTAGATCGAAGTTAATCGACCAAATTGGCAATATATTAAAGATAGGCCAAATTAAGAGTACCCTTAACTGATGAGCATGTATGCATAGGTATATGAATGTTAAGAAGCTAAGAAAGGTGTTTCAGGATTGTACCAAATGATAGTCCGTAATCTCTGCCTGGGTGACAAGTGTGAGTGTTTATGTATGTATATTTCATTCATATAACAGTTAGATCCAATTTACCATACTCTAGTCATTTTTTTTAAAATAATTTGGAACTGTGTGAAAAATTACTAACACCAGTCGAAAATTAAAAAACACAAAACTAAGTCAGAGATTTTATAGAGAACAATAATTAATTTGTATGATTCTTCTTACATTTATTTATTGTTAAATATTTTATAACCTCTAACAATATCAACAAAAACAATACATTTCCTTCAAAATAAAGCTATAAAAATGAAGTGTAAATGCATGTAAGTTATGATTTATATTTTCAAAAACTTTAAACGCTCATTATCTCAAAACAGGGTTTTGTAATGTTTGTACTTTTCTCTAAATGGGGACACTATAGTTTTAAATAACTTACCTGCCATAGACTTCACAGCTGGTACCCTTAAATCTTTGTCCTCTAAATTACACATATATTTTAATATTTTAGTTCTCAGTGGCATAAACAGCTGCGCTACTGCTCTAAAATTTAGCCACAGCTTCAAATTTCCAACAGCAGCCACTATCGCATGGGCCATTGATAGTGGGAGAGTGCTTGGAGTTGCATGTTCAAAGACTGATGTCATTGCACACACACCGCCAAGTTTACAAAACAGGCTTACATTGCGCAATAGATAAGCAGGTATTTCCGTATCATGAAGATCACAGTATGAACTTAAGTTGGATATTTCTTGTGCTGATAGGTCATCTAAACGGCTCAATGCTGAATGCTTACACGCTAAGTATAAGGGAAAATTGAGTAAGAAAATTTTAGAAACAATATGCATAAGCTTTTCTTTCTGCTGCATTGGCCATATTTCTGTATCACTTGAGGGGGAGTTCTCAATATGGGAATTGTCCTCAGTTGATTGCTCTTGCTTATCTTCTGATTTATTACCATCATCATCAGGTTCATCATCTTTTGATTGATGGTTATTTTCACTTTCAGAAGTAGTAGTAGTTTCAAGCTGCCTTTCTTGCTCATGTGTGTCATCAGGTGGAGAAGACTTAGCTGCTTCGATTAAATCATCTTTTAATAGCTTGAGTTGACACACAGATAAGCACAACACACTTTGAACCACCAAATAAAATCTTTCAAAATTTTTAACATCTCGATAACAGCACATACATTGCCTGAAACATTAAAAAATTATACTAAGGAAAAACTCCTTAAAGTATGTAATGTATAATTTTACAGTAATTCGAGTTATTATAAAGATAAAGGTAACTAAAATTCAATGTAGGAACTTAAACCTAGCTTTACTAAATTAGATGTTAACTTAAAAGACAGGAACAAATTGACTTTTATCAAAAAGGTTTTTACCTTTGTGGCCAAGAAAGTATGTAATTAAGGACTACTTCCAGTTCAGACTGACTTATACTTGGGTATTGGGACACATCATCGGTTAATCTCGTTTCACCTGAAATTAGAAATACAACAGAGAATTTCATAAAGCTATTTACATCGGCTATTTACTGGTTCATTAAAATGTCTATTTACTTAACTTTTTAAGAGAAAAAACAATCGTGCGATGTATAATAGCTACAAATCTATGAAACAAAGTAACTTACAATTCACTAAAAGATGTGAAAACTCGGAACAAACATCACACATCCTCAAGGTTTTACGTCGAAATTAAGCGAAATATTATAGAAATATTATCGCCACCACTGTTTCATTTGAAATATTTACCATTATTGATATTTTCGTATCAGAAACGAATACTGCCTTAGAAATGTCACAGAATCCGTTCCACCATTGTTGACGATTGTTGTCAAAAACGCGTTTAGTTTTTGCTATGAAAATTATAAATTTCAAGTAAATACTAAATTTTGTAAATATTTTTATCAACTTAAAATGAAAATATTTGTTTTCGGCACATATAAATTTGTATTTATATAAGCTTATAAAAGTCTGTGTTTATTAAATAATTAAGGATATATGACTTATCTTCATTTTAAATAAACAACTGATTTATGTAAGGAAAGCATTGACAAAAGTATTATTTGTTTTGAATTACGGCTATAATTGAGTTCTTGAAAGAGTAACAACTAATAATGTAAATAAGAAATATGCAGACCGGAAAGCAGCAAACTCTCCGTGACCTCCGTCCTTCGTGTGATAGAACAATTTCCATATGTCTGTGTTTTGAAAATGCGCCTATATTTTGCAAATACCAGGACTTGCCTTGTAGCCCGTGGTGGGGCAAGAAGGGGGCAAGATATGCAAGAATGTTGTAACGCAAATTTGTAAGGTTCAATAAGCTGGCTCAAGTCTCAGTCATGCCTAACACTATAAAACAGAAATAAACTTGAAGTTACAGGAATATTTTTTGCATAATTTCACAATCTGCAATGATCCTTTACATAAAGCAATTTGCAGGTGCTTAAAACTGCAGAAAATGTTTGCTCTGGAGTGTTAAGCAAGGTTCTGGAGGACGATGGAGACAAGACTAAATTTATAGTTTCCGAAAGTTGCAGGTTGCATATTTACATCACGTCGGATACACCAATTTAGCCGTCATAGGATAAGGAAAGATCTCTCAACTAGCAAGATGTGAAACCTAAGAAGCAGCCAATCATTCGTATCTTAGAGTCAAAGAGTATAGTCACTGTCCTATACAGGAAAAGAGAGCCTACTCGTGCGAAATCTGTCAACCGAGGAGTACTAGCGCCTCCTGGTGTCGTTTTATCACAATATTGTGAGAATGTGTGCGTGCGTATAACACAAGCACCTTTACATATACACCACTGTTCAAAATAATTCATTAAACTTTATGTACTAGGACTATTTATCAACAACCAACAGTGGACTAAACATTTGAAATATTTTTTAAAGATAGCATAGTAACTAAATGCTTCAAATGTTTAATTTAACAGTCGGTTGTTAATAACTAATCCTAATACATAAAGTGTGATTCATAACTTGTAAACACGAATTAACTATGATATTTTTTAACATGAATGAAATTAAACACAAATAATTGGTACATTATTCTATATTTTTTTAACTTTCCCTTAAGTTAAGATAGATAAGGATTTAACCTAGTTTTGATAATACAACACATAAAACTAATATTTTATTCTAATGTTCATATCATTAACAGATTAATAACACAGCTAGTGTCTATACAAAAATAGTAAATACTATCATTTAAAAAAAATAATGACTTTATTATAATAGATTAATATATAAACTTTAAAAATACTAAATAATAATTACAAAATATTAAACTAATACTATAAGGGTAAGCTTAAATGGCTATGAAGCAATCCAAAGCTGTAACCACACTTGGCAAGTGGGTTGGCAACTGCAGTTATTAGGAAGATCAGTCCATCTGCTGATGTGTTTCCTTCTGTCGCCTCTTACGATGACACCCACGGGATGGTAATATGGGGTTGTGGATATTCTGAGACCGTCACTACACGGTAATCTAATATTTTTTTACAATAAATAATTCGTAAACACAGCTTTATAATAAAAAAAAAATTAGGTAAACTAATGTCATTAAATAATTAATTTTCACAAACAAAATATGAAAACAACATTTTTTTACAATAAATAATTCATAAACACAGCTTTGATATAACAAAATATTAAACTGAAAATATATTAAATGGTCTGACACAACTGGTTACTTCGGTTACGCGAATTCCAGATGTGGAGGATCATACGGTGACTTAGAGTAATTACATACATACGTATGCATAGAGAGAACCTACAATTCTACATAAATTTTGTCAATATACTTGTCTCGCTTTTTCTTATTTAATTTCCAAATAAGACAAAAAGAGACAAATCTATTGTAAGATGTTGCGTGTAATTCATGCGTGGAAATAGTAATGTCAAGTGGTCATCTTTGGTCGCTTTATACTATGCCAAATATGAGATTAAGCACACTCGTATGACAAAATGAAAAATGACATCCCTATTGTAGTAGTATTATATGTGACGTTACTTTACAAGACATGACGTCTTTAGTCTATATCTATAGTGATTTCGTTCGCTATGTTAGCAACAATGGACATAGATATACTAGTTTTTGTTTAGTTATTTATTTTTATTACTTTATTATTAGTCTAATTTCACGAACACACACATCGCGACAAAACTCACGAAACTATCTACACCATCTGGATACTTGGTGGTCCACCACTGTGCATTTTACTAGAAGTTTTCTTCCTCGTATGAACACTTTGTAGAACCACAATTTTTCCTAACTGATACAACTTAGGGACATTCAAGAAAAGAACTTCCTATCTTAAAGGCCCGTAACACACCTGCTATTTATTTGGTGGAGCATGTGTTCATGGACGGCGCTATTCACTTACCATCAGGTAAGCCACATGCTCGTTTGCTCATTCTTCTATAAAAAAGTAGGTTGTATAGTCTTACACCTGCTTGCTGTATACAAGGCTTCTGCACTCGTACTGAAGGGACGTAGTGTTGACAGATTTTCACTCGCGAAAAGAATCTGTCTATTATCTATTTTATACGATTCTTTTAGTCACGTCACTATGTAAAAAAGTAAAAATAAAACTATAGAACGTAAACGCAAAACGGCAGTAAAATATTATTATCTTTTAAAGTTTTAATTATTTTGAGCACGATGTCTAAAACAATATGTTGATTGTGTGTGTGAATTAATTGTATAATGATTTTGATTGATTGTGTATTTTTAAATGATGATTTACGACCATGAACAAAAATGATTATTATTTCAAATTATGCGAAACGTAAAGAGCTACGTTCTAAGAAGTGTCAAAAGGGACTTCGTAATTGGAATAGAGTATAATGAGGATTTTTTTTTAATTACTTGCAGCCGCCAAATTTCACGAACACACACATCGCGACAAAACTCACGAAAGCATCTACACCATCTGGATACTTGGTGGTCCACCACTGTGCATTTTACTAGAAGTTTTCTTCCTCGTATGAACACTTTGTAGAACCACAATTTTTCCGAACTGATACAACTTAGGGACATTCAAGAAAAGAGCTTCCTATCTTAAAGGCCCGTAACACACCTGCTATTTATTTGGTGGAGCATGTGTTCATGGACGGCGCTATTCACTTACCATCCGGTTAGCCACATGCTCGTTTGCTCATTCTTCTATAAAAAAAGTAGGTTGTATAGTCTTACACCTGCCTGCTGAATTCATTAATCATTAACAACTGAGCATGGGTGTTTTACCGATATTTAGTTTTCATAACGTAATTGAAAACCGTTTTCAAATATCGATATCAGTAGTAATGGTTTGCTACTGAATGCGCAAACGACAACTGAAACATATCTGAAAACTGTAGGACCAGTGCAAAATTAATTTTATGAATTATTAACATTATTTTAATTTTGAAGTCAGAGCTTCTAATATAATTTTAGATGTAATATTTTTAGACCTGTATGTTAATACATAATTTATGTATTTTTTAGGTACTTTAGTTATAAATGGTTATTTAGGTTGGCGATTTTCCTTTATGCTTAACTAGGTTTAGGATTAGCATAAAAGTTTTGAATTCGAATTCCACAAAATACAAAATAGACAACGCACATTTCATTATAAAGAAAGTTATATATAGATATATATAAAGATACAAGAGGTGCATAAAAAATAGAAATAAACTTTTCTGGCGCATTTAAAAATCGCCGTATTTACAAATGATTACACAAGCCGTAAAAATTTTCAAATTTTTTTCCTTTTATAATTCTTCTTTTTTATTTTCAATTTTTTTATTTATCAAATAATTTTTATCAAGATTTTCGTTTAAAAATATAATTTCCTCAACTTTATGGGGCTTTAAACGAAATCTTTTTTCGTTAATATTTCAAATATTAAAAGAGTCTAACTCAACTTAACTATACTACACTATATTTTCAGTTTACACATAATTGTCTGAATTAAAACTAATGTACGAAATGCACACAACTATTGCAAATAAATTCACAAACGTAACGTCAAAATCAATAATTTTATTGATAATATCTTGATTAATGACACGTGCCACCAAGGTCAAGTGCGTAATTGTTACATTTTGAATTAAAAAAAAATCAAGTTCTAAACTTTCCGTCCAAAACATAAACAAAAAGTTGCCTAGAGCAAATATCATATGCTCATACAAATCTAAGTCTTGTGTCTAATGCCCTAAAGATCATTTCAATTTGACAACTCTCACAACTACACAAACTTAATAATTAGGCAATTTTAACCATTTAAAATTCGACCTTACCGCCGATTGTTGTGTGATAACTACTTAAACATCGTAACGAAATCCATATTCGCTTCATCCGTTATGATACCGTCGCAAGAACGAGAAACAACGAATATCAACATAACCTCGGTTAGTTTGTGGACCGTATACCGTGTAGTGGCGGTTAAGAATATCCACTATCCCATACCGTGGGTGTCGTAAAAGGCGACAAAGGGAAACAGGCAGGAGATGGGCAGCAGCATCTTCCTGATAACAACCAAATTACATTAAAAAACTGCGGTTGCCAACCCGCTTGCCAAGCGTGGCAACTATGGCAACCCCCCCCCCCCCTCCCAAAGTAACAAAGAGACGGCCCCCAGTCCCCAGCGGCCCCGCTATTCCTGGCTACGGTGGCTACCATGGTAACGGCGGGGCAGGAGGTGCTAAGAATCTCCGGTGGAGGTTTGGTTGCAACCTACGACGACTCGACCTGGCAACTTATAACGCACGCACCCTGAGGACTGACGAGAAGATCCTGAGGCTGGAAGAAGAGATAGACAAATTGCGCTGGAATATCATAGGATTATCCGAGGTCCGAACAGAGGGGGAGGACACGGTAATCCTCGAATCCGGCAACTTGCTCTATCACCGGAAGGGCGACCATCTGCCCCAAGGAGGTGTCGGATTTATCGTACACAAGTCTCTCGTTAACAACGTTGTAAAGATTGAGTGTGTCGACGAAGGTTGCGTACCTTATACTCAGAATCACCAAACGGTATTCGTTGAAGGTTATACAGGTTTACGCACCAAACTCGCCACACCCCGATGAGGAGGGGGAGGAAACGTATGAGGATATCTCTAGAGCCATGCATTGCTCCAAAACCCACTATACGGTGTTAATGGGAGACTTCAACCCAAAACTAGGCACAAGAGAGAACGGTGAGCTGAAAGTAGAGAAATTCGGAATAGGGCAACGGAAACAAAGGGGCCAGCAGCTGGCGGACTTCATGGAGAAAGAGGAACTCTTTATGATGAACTCTTTCTTCCAGAAGCGGCCCCAAAGGAAGTGGACCTGGTCGAGCCCCGACGGTTCCACAAAAAATGAGATTGACTTCATTATGACGACCAGACGACAACTGTTCAGTGATGTCTCAGTGATCGCGAGGGTGAAAACCGGCAGCGATCACCGAATGGTGAGAGGCACACTGAACCTAAACGTTAAGTTGGAGAGGTCACGTCTAATGAAGTCAACGCTCCGTCCCCCTCGTGCTCTAATCCAAAGTCCCGAAACCTTTCAGCTCGAGCTACGAAACCATTTTCAGTGCCTAGAAGATTGCAATGCAGTGGACGATATGAATGACAAGCTCGTGGAAACTGTCCATACGGTCGGAGCTAAGTTTTGCAAGACCCGCCGCAGAAGAACACAAAAACTCTCCGAACACACTCTTAATCTCATGGCTGTTAGACGGGATATGAAGCTGCAGTCTTCAGTAGATTTGACAGCATACAGGCAACTCAACAGACAGATCTCCAAATGCATGCGGCGCGTGACTTACGCAACTTTAATACGGCTCGTATTGAAGAAACGATCGAGCGGAACCAGGGCTCCAAAGTCTTTGCTAGAGATCTGTCTACCAGAAAGAGCCAACTGTCGAAGCTGAAGACCGAGTGTGGCAGCGTCATTTCCGGGACACCTGAGATTTTGAGTGTGGATGAAAATTAGTTTTCGTTGGAGCCACACGCAAGTGTGAGTAACGATCCAAGAGCGAGTCTTATCCGACATTATTCCGATGATATCCCGGACGTCAGTCTGAGCGAGATTAGAATGGCTCTCCAGCACCTTAAAAACGGCAAGGCCCCAGGTGAGGATGGTGTTACAGCGGAGTTTCTAAAAGCGGGTGGAAAACCGGTACTTGAAGTCCTTCAGAAGCTCTTTAATTCCGTCCTCCATGGTGGAATTACACCGGAGGCGTGGAGCAGAAGTGCGGTGATCTTGTTCTTCAAGAAAGGCGACAACGCTCTCTTGAAGAACTACAGACCGATTTCCTTTCTGAGCCGCGTCTACGTGCTGTTTTCGAGAGTCATTACGAATCGTCTCGCGCGCAGACTTGACAACTTCCAGCCTCCCGAACTATCTGGTTTCCGAAAAGGCTTTAGACCACATACATACCCTTTGGCAAATTGTACAGAAGTCCGAGGAGTACAATTTGCCACTATGTCTGGCGTATGTGGACTATGAAAAAGCCTTTGATTCCGTCGAAATTTGGGTGGTGCTGTAGTCCCTTCAGCGGTGTTAAGTTGACTGTCGGTATATCGAAGTGTAGAAGTGCTTGTACAGTAGGGCTACGATGGCTATCCGAGTACAGAACCAGAGTACGAAACCTATCCAATTGCAGAGAGGTGTAAAACAGGGTGACGTCATATCCCCGAAACTCTTTACCGCTGCATTGGAAGATGTTTTCAAGCTTCTGGACTGGAAAGGATACGGTATCAACATCAATGACGACCTTTGATTTGCCGACGATATAGTCCTTATGGCAGAATCGCTGCAGGACCTAAGCACTATGCTCAATGACCTCAATAGTGTTTCCCAACGGATAGGTCTTAAGATGAACATGGACAAAACAAAGATCATGTTTAATGTCCATGTCACACCTATGTCGGTAGTTGTTGGGAGCACTAAGCTCGAAGTTGTTGACGAATATGTTTACCTGGGACAAATAGTCCGACTAGGAAAGTCCAACTTCGACCGAGAGGTCAATCGACGGATTCAACTCGGCTGGGCAGCGTTCGGGAAACTACGACACATCTTCTCGTCAGACATACCTCAAAACCTTAAAACGAAATTGTACAACCAGTGCGTGTTGCCAATGATGACTTACGGATCTGAGACGTGGTCCTTCACTGCTGGCCGTATGAGGAAGCTCAAGGCCGCTCAGCGAGCTATGGAGAGGGCTATGCTCGGAGTCTCTCTGCGTGATAAACTTAGAAATGAGGATATCCGCAGTAGAACCGGAGTGACCGACATAGCCCAACGGCTTAGTAAGCTAAAGTGGCAATGGGCCGGCCATATAGCTCGAAGAACCGACAACCGATGGGGAAAAAAGGTTCTCGAGTGGCAGCCTCGTACCGGCAGGCGAAGTGTAGGGCATCCCCCGACTAGATGGAGTGACGACCTGGTAAGGTATGCAGGAAGTCGATGGAAGCAGGTGGCTCAGGACCGTGCTTTGTGGCATTCCTTGGGGGAGGCCTATGTTCAGCAGTGGACTTGCGAAGGGCTGTAATGATGATGGGCATATCGTTCCAGTTTGCGTTTTACGTTTCGTACGTTGGTTAGTTGGTTTTGGTTGGATTTGTGATAACCGTTATGTACTTAGGTTTATCGATATGATATAATATTTTGATAGCATAACGTTATTACTTACGTTTTGATATATCGGTCCCATGCCTATTAACAACGCATTGACAATGACAGTTGACAGATGCCAGATGCAGATGTCTTATGTCTTGTTCTGTGATGTGAATTTTAAGACATGGGTTGATAACACTTGCTTGCGGCTTTTTCTTTAATAACAAAAATGGTTCAGTTACTTTATATCGTAGCTAGCATACATTTAATTTTATGCCCATTTACTAAAGTAGAAGAAAGTTTCAATATCCAGGCTACCCACGATATTTTGTACCATCGTTTTAACCTCTCGGAGGTATCTACAATAATCTAATTTTGGATTCATAAGTTGTCTATTCAGACGCGTATATTAATATATTTTTCCAGTATGATCACAACGAATTCCCGGGGGTCGTGCCGCGTACTTTTATTGGCCCTGTTATTATATCGGCTTTATCAGCACCATTTGTTTCGGTTTTACATTTAATCGGAATAAATAAATTCTGGATGCAATACGTGGGTAAGGGTATATTGTGATATTTATAAGTGATTTTTTTTAATTGCCATATAATTTATATTCATTAAAAATATCTATGAAATGTTTAATTATAATGATGATTAACATTAACATATTGATATAAACATACATTATATATAAAAAAAATCTAATGAAAGAGCCCACCCGAAATAGTTCCAGACTCAAAAGTGCACACAAACCTGGCTGCAATGCCATGTTGTATAGAAAGTGAAAATATGTTGAGCCAAAAACAATCCAGAGCAGATATTGTAAACTCTTTCCCTCAAAAGTTTAATCAGGAGCAGTTTGTCAAATAATTATTTTCAAAATAATTTTTAGTATGTTAAAAATAATAACTTAATTAGTGCCTCTCCCACTGCCGGGCACAGATGTCCCCTCACTTCTGAGAGAGTTTAGTATCTTAGTTGAAAGTTATTGACATTTATGGTCAATGATTTCATCATTGTTAATGATCATTAGCTTGGAAAATGTTATCACTTACAATAATATTTAAAATTAAGCAAGTGTTTTATTTGGATTTTACATAATAGAATGTTCAATAAAAAAACAAGAAATAACATTTCTTATTTTTGATGTAATGGTACATATTAAGTAAACCAGAGAATGAAATTATTTCATACAATTATATCCACTTTTAACATCATATCCGTTTGGAACAAAATATGAGAGTTAAATACAGAACAAAAAATGTTTACCTTTTACACTTAGGTTTTTATCTTTGTTAATAAAATAATAGGCAGATGTGATAATATTTTTTGTCTGCCTCCTTTTTGAAGGTGGTTAAAAAAAGTAGACAGGTAGATGTCTACTTTTTTTAACCACCTTCAAAAAGGAGGAGGTAGTCAAATCAACTGTAGTTTTTTATTTTGTTTTTTATGTGTTACCTCATAACTTTTTTATATGTGAACTGATTTTGATGATTATTTTCTTATTTGAAAGCTGGTGCTTCTCATGTAGTCCAGGTCAATCAAGGTCTAACCAGTAGTTTTTGAGTTATCCTTAATTATTTATATTGAAGTCGGTTGTACAAAAATTTTAATCCATTTTTTTTTATAGGATAGAGTGCACAGTCCACCTGATGGTGAGTCGTTGCTGTGGCCCATAGACATCTACATCAACCCCCGTTTGCGAATCAAAAAGGAGATGCATTGTCACCTAAGGACTAAGATGGAATGCCTCTTCGTGGTAGATCCTTTCTTCAGCTATATTATTATGGTTGTAGCACGATTTTACTTCCAGTAAAAAGGGTCTCCGGTTCTCTACACTCACCATACGAAACACAACAGCATTAAGCTGCTATTTTACGCTAGTATTCTGTGAGAGTGTGTTCCTACTCAGGACGAGCCGACCCAATCGTGCTACAGCTATACTATTAATATAGCTGCAGAATGGCTCTACCACATATTAATCTTACCACTTGTTTGTCAACATCTTTGATCCAACAGAAAATTACCCTCAGAAATGGGCTATTTTGTTTAATTTACTTAAATCCTTAAAGGTTTATCGTGATTTGCCAAATTATGAAATCTTTAAAACCTTCCTGTTTCTACCTTTATACAATAGATAAAAATAATCACAATATTATTTTAATTATTTTATTTTAGTGCGTCTCACCCTAGCTTTAACTGTAATAGTATCATGGAGCCGCCTCAGGGATGCTTTGCAAAAGCAATTTGGTACTGCTTTTGCATGGTGGTTTACTTTAATTACTGCCACACAGTACCACTTTATGTTCTACATGAGTCGTCCTTTACCAAACATTATGGCTCTCCCACTTGGTAAGTTTGAAAATGTCTGAAATTTTATTAATTTTCTTTGTATTCATAAGAATGATATTCATATGATCAGCTTGTTATTTTGTTATTGATTTTAATATGATACTTGGAACTTACAAACTATGCCACGAAAGTGCGAAAATTATGGGTTTATGAATTATAATAAATATTTATCAAATTTGTGACACAAAATTGTCCAGTTGTGAAGTTGTTTGTCAATGATAACTTTATATTATAATGTATAGATGATAATATATTTATTACTATTATTATGCAGTTACTAGTGACCCACCCCGGCTTTTTTTACCTATTGTATCCAATTGCAAATTTAAACTATCCAAGGACCCACTCAAATACACACAAAAGATTTCAATCGGTCCACACAGTTTCGAGTTTTAGTGAGACTAATGGACAGCAATTTATTTTTATTTAAAAACATTGTAAACATGTGAAGAATTACTAATCTTTACAATATATAAATAAAATTGAAGTGTCTGTTCGTAATTAGACTCAGAACAGTTCAGGAGATTATTTGCATGCTGTAAAGACATGAGTAACTATTTATGAAATTTTTATCTATATGTCTGTTCAGGCTAATCTTCGAATGGCTGAATCTATTGTGATGAAATTTCGCAAACAAGTACAGCAATGCCAGGAGTATTCTAGATTATCTTTATATATAAAAATTATGTATCACATTGTTTGTCCGTGATGAACTCCTAAACTACTGAACTGATTTCAATGAAATTTTGCACACTGTGTGCAGTTTGGTCCAACTTGAGAGATAAGATAGTTTTTAGCCCTATAAGTGACCCTCAATATTTTTTATTAAGAATTTTTATAGGACACAGGGTCGTCGGAGAGCGCAGAACAACGTCTGCTTGGCCAGCTAGTATTTCATAAAAAATACTTTTTTTTTTGTGATATCTAAACACTAATAAAATACATGGTTTTGATGATTATCTCTATGAAAGATATAAAAAATTGTAAATGATTATGTTTTAAGAGCCTTTAAGATAGGAAGAGGAGTTACACAAGGGGATCCATTATCTCTCAAGCTGTTTTCTGCAGTATTAGAAAATGTATTCCAAAAATTGGATTGGGATCAATGTAGCTTACATATAGATGGAAGAAAACTTAATCATCTCAGATTTGCAGACGACATTGTCTTATTTGAAGAAAACCCACATACCCTAGGGAAAATGATTGAAGACCTAAACAACCAAAGTGAGAAAATTGGATTATTCATGAACATAAACGAGATTAAACTATTTACAAACTGCGAAAACCTCTCTCTCGAGGACGTAGAAGAATATATTTACCTGGGACAAATCATTTCACATAAAGACCAATCTACCAAAGAAATCAATAAAAGAATATCTAACAGCTGGAAAAAATACTGGTCCCTAAAGGAGCTAATGAAATCGACTGAACTAAGCATAAATTAAACAGGAAGTTTTTGATACATGCATTCTTCCCTGCCTCACTCGTGGCTGTGAAACCTGGTCCCTCACAAAACATCACAGGGAAATTCTACTATTGTAGTAGAATTTCCCTGTGATGTTTTGCTAAAGAGCTATGGAAAGGAGCATGATTGGTGTTAAAAAGCAGGACAGAAAAAGAAACATCTTTATAAGAGCCAAGCCAAGAGGCACACTGAACTGAGAGACATTCTATAAACATCATAATAATTTAGGCAACCATTGAACTATGTTTAGGACAAAAAGCGTAGTGATTGATTGATTGATTGATTACCAATCTGCAGATTTATTTCAGTTAAACTTCTATGTAATAAATACGTATATAATATTGAATTGGTTTCTCGGCAACTCCTCTAAAAATTGGGTGAAAATGTGTACTTAGATAATAATTGTTTTTCTTTCCAAGTTTATCTAGATAGGCTTCAACAATGATAATTTTTTCTTGCTGATCCTGTTTAGAGCTCAGTTGCATGGGATACTGCTAATTAAACAAACAATTTAATGTTTTAGGTTAATTATTTTAGTTTATATTCCTTAGAAAAATTAAATATTATTAAGTTTTTTCTATTAACCTTACTTAGTGATGGTGTTAGAATATGTACTACCGCATAACATCTCGAGGGTGTTGTAGAGGCGACTTATGGAAACCAGGATAATCGACAGCAGAATCTTCCCAATAACAAACTAGATAATAAAAAAAAAACTGCGATTGCCAACCATCCTGTCAAAAATGGCAACTATGGTAAATATTCTCTTTAAATCTATGTACAGCAGTGGACCTTCATATATTGCTATAAATAAGGAAAAAAAAATTGCAGTGTTTCTTTATTTGCATACTATTTACTTATTCAATATATTTATTTTCAGTGCTAATTGCGTTTGAAGGATGGCTCTTAGGAAAGCATAAACAGTTTTTAATTTCAGCGGGATCTTCTATTATTATATTTAGGTCTGAGTTGGCCATCCTATTTGGATTGTTCCTTATAATAGATTTAACCTTTAAAAAAATTGATTTGATGAGGTAAGTTGTGATTTAGAATATTATCTAACTGTTACTTCATGAAAACATAATTATTTACCGATTGTCAGTGTGGTATTATATTAATACATATTCCATACTAGCTTAAACTTAAGTGATGGTGTAAGAATATCCAATACCCGATATAGTCCTGTATAGGGATTGCAATCCAGCACTGTTTTGACATTAATTCAGCGGGACCCCGCGGGATCCAGCTAAGGTTGTAATTCTTTTTTTTTATTTAAATGAATATGCTTTATTATGGTTATACCAAATGTTTATTAAAAATTACAAATATCGAACAATATCTTACTGCACCTAATTGACTAATTATCTTACTGTTTGACAACTTATTTATTGATAAAAATTTCAAAATATCAATTTTTTATAATTTTGTAGTTTTTGTACTCTAGTTAACTAAAGATATTACTTCTAATCTGTATCTGAGGTATCATAATATGAATTTAGTTTAAGTTTACTGACTTAATTTTTCTTATTAAAGTATAAAATTCATCAAAAATGTAACAAATTTATAAATATCAAGTAATAAGTCACTTCTCTTTTTAGAAATGTGATCTTAAAAAACAAATAGTCTCAATAGTGTTATCTCCCGATCTACTTCTTATAGAACTAGTACATATTATTAACCAACAACCAATGGCCGAAAAGTCTTTTTCTGTCTCCACACTTCTTGGTTTCATTGGTAGCTACTAACAAACAACCTCCCTTTTACTCCATCAGTTTCAATTGCAAATTTAATGAATTTACGTGATTTGATGCGCTGCATTCCCAGCTGTTGCGGTATTAAATTTATGTTGGATCCCGCTGGATTGCGGTATCTCACTCTGCTGGATTTCAATCCCTAGTCCTGTAGGAGTCCTAACAGACTAAAGAGGGGCACAGACCAAGAGATGGGCAGCAATATCTTCCTAATTATTTTCCGAACCAGTGGTAAATTAAACAAAAGAGTGACTTCCAATGAGTATTATTTATAATCTATATTGAATAAAAAAGTTTTTATTTTTGTGAATAATACCTAAAAAATAAAAAATAACTGCGGTTTCGGGTTAGCTAGAGACGTCCCATACTTGATTTTAATTATGTTTTCAGTTTAGGAGGTTTGTCGGGGTTAAGCTAGAAGCTTTTATACTGTTTGTGGATTTCGGAAATGTGTTTTGAATTAATTACCTACGATAAAAATAAATTTCACTAACTAAAAATTACATATAACGAAACGGGTCACCCATAAAAAGTTAATTACTTGGACTCAGATAATCCATTTGTGATTGAAGATGGGACTCATACACAATGAATTGAGTCGCAGTAGAGAGCAGTCAAAGGTTTTTCAGAAAACAAAATTATAACAATTCACATTACATTGTTTCATTTACACATTATCATAGCAGAATTTAGGGCAATATGACTTTATAGATAAGATAGGTCGAATCTGTACAAAAATCGAATCAGAACGCCCCGACTCTACGTAGTCTTATCTGCCCTACCCATGGCACCATAGGTGAGCCATAGCGGCTGAGACTGGTCCTGAGGTGAGCATGGATGCCTGTGCTATGCTACGCAAGAGCTGCGCTTCCCGCACGGCCGAAGCCGTTGCAGAAGTAACTTTTGAGCCAATATTCCTGTCTAAAAAAGTAAAGTTTATATTACAAAAAGAATGATTACTCATAAACTATACATTTCCGCAACGGTGAAGGGTGGGGGGGGGCTTCTCTTGAACCCTCCCCCTTCCCAATCCCCCTCCCACCCCCTTCCCAATCCCCCTCCCACCCCCTTCCCAATCCCCCTCCCACCCCCGTACCGGATATATCTAGTTTTATATATCTATGTTAGTTTTAGTTAGTTTAGTTTACGACGGGCTGTTTTCCGCAACTCCACGTCTAAGCGCGTATTTTGCGTGCATTATGGTAAATATCTCCGCAATAGGATAATCTATGGGGGTGGCCTATGTCTAGATTTTTGGAAGGCTGTAACAGTAACCAGTACTTAAACTTTACCATCAGGTGGACTGTAGGTTCGTTTGTCACTTTAGACTCTTTTACTATCTTTCTTATATTCATGCGAATCACTTTCAATTGGATACTGTTTTTACAGATTCTTCAAAATAGTATTACCTGCTGGAGCAGGATTAGTGGCATTAACAGTTATAGTGGATTCAATATTTTGGAGAAGATTACTTTGGCCAGAAGCAGAGGTGTTTTGGTATAACACCATTTTAAATAAAAGCTCAAACTGGGGTGTATCCTTTTTCATACTAATCAATTAGTCTACTTTTATATGATATTATATTGTAAAAGTTTAGACTCACAATGAAATTGCGAAAAACTATATATTATTATAGTTTCATTATAGTTATGTTATAATTATATACATCTCTTCCTTCTTCAAAAGAGTACCAAGTACCAGTCTTATCTTCTTCCTATAATATCTTAAATATTCACATTATTTAATGAAGTCAACAAATATCATTATCATTGAAGCAGATGGTGACAAATCCATTGCTGAACTTGGTATACATTCCCCCTAATACTAGACGATTACGAGACTAGGGAAATTGTTGGGCACTCGTGACTCAGGAATAGGCTGTAAGAGTTTTAGTATTATCAAAATAGAAGATCATTTATATCCACTGCTAGGGACATAATACGAAGTTTGTCAATAATTAAATTCATTAACCGGTTCAGTGCGGATTGTTTTTGTGTGTGTGTGGCGTATGACACGCGAGTCGTGTCTTTTTACAAATCGTTATAACTCGCTCAAATTGCGTTTATGCAAGATTTATCCAGAACAAAATATTCATTATTTTGCAAGTAGTTCATGCCTACTGCTTCGTTTCTGAATATTTTGAAATTTTTAGGAACTCTTTTTACTTTCTGGGTTTTAAATTATGTTGTGGAAAAATAGTCTAATAAGTAACAAATAATAGCACTCATTGCGATCGCTCACAAACTCAAGTTGTAAAAAAATTTCTGGAAAACAAGTCTCCTGTTATAAAAAAAGAAGCGTTTGTTTTATTGTTTAATTTTGCTTAAAATGGTTGTTCTGCCGTCTTATTACTATCATATGGCCGAATAGACCTACGAAGTACCATGTGCTCTTGTGATATGGTATAAAGTTTATTTTTGCTTGAAACAGTTCGAAACCGTTCATGCATAAAAAAAGTTCGCTAATAAATAGTCTCGTCAATCCGCCGCCGTATAGCGCCGGCGTTTGTTTCCTTTTGAAAACACTTGTTTTGCTATTCTTACTAATTAGAAGTTTTCAAATTGACTTTACTTTTACATTTGTAAAACATTAAATAATATTTAACATTTGTAAATATCAATGAATCATAAACCTAATTTTTTTCTAAATTAATGTTCTTGATTGTTTGATATTTACAAATGTTATTATTAGGTGAAAATTTAATTTAATAAAAACCTAGGTTTTCCAGGGTGATTTAGCTGTACCTACTTATATAAATGATTTTTTTATAAAACAAAAAATAGTACAAAAGGTTTGTAATCTCTGCATAAAATAAGTCACTTACTCTCAATTTCAAAGAAAACACGTAGTTACCCACTAAAAACAAGTATCCTTCCGTTTGCAACTGATGTTTGATGTCAACTAAACTTAATTAGGTCTAAACAAGTGAAAACAGCATAATAAATAAAATTGGCACAATAGGCATGGCAATAGGCGTGGCACTTGACACGCCAGGCGTGTCATGAAATATTTGTTCGCCGCCACAGCTAAAAGTTTTCGAAAATTGGTGCCGCAACGAATCGGTTAATCTGTAATCTGTATCATGCGCGACTACTACTCCCGCGCATGCGCGATGCCTTTAATTTGATATAAAATAAGATATTAATATAAAATATATATAAGAATTTAATATAAAATATCTTATTTTAATCTAAACAAACATATTTCTTAATAAAATGTAATAATAAATATCTTATGGAAATCACAAATCTTCAATTTACGCAATATTTAGTTTTTACGAATTGCAGTACAGTTCAGTTGAACATAGTCAATGTTCAGAATGCGAAATTTAGTGCGTAGTACATATTATATCGATGTTATCAGTAATTACGTATGTTAAAGCCCTTAAGTTATATTAATACAGACATCGCCATTTTTATGGTACTTTTATTCTGCGCTTCCTCGAGGCCTAGGTCCAAGCATTATTTTGCTACCCATCGGACTCTACCTGGACAGGCGTTTAATACCTATTGTAGCACCTGCGATAGTTTATGTGTTTCTGTTCTCTTTTTTGCCTCATAAAGAGCTTAGGTTTATAATTTACGTTTTTCCATTGCTCAATATGGCGACGGCTGCGGCATGCTCATATGTGTAAGTACATTTCTTATAATTATGTCTTAGTACAATATACTTATGAAGACTTTAAACCCTTTCAATGCTTTTTAAGTATTTATAAATATTTTATATCCAGGGTCTACCATTTTAATGGCGGAGGTTGTAGTATTTTGATAAATAGGATGCCTCAGACTCTATAATACACCGCGAGTGTAACTGTATCTGCTCAGTACAGACTATTAAACGCAGACTGAGCGAGTAGCGAGTAAAATCGTTAAAATATTGATATATAATTTTAATAAATGTCAATTCCCGTTTTAAGTTGAACTCACATTTCTTGCACACAGTAACAGTGCGTAATGCGTAAAGCACTACTTATCCTGGACGTCCATAAGTGGAGTGGGCCTGATGGAATCCCCCCAATTGTGGTTAAGAACCAGTGTTAACTCTGGTGTACATAGAGTTAACACTGGTTCTTACGTGTATTTTCAGGTTCTCGTTCCAATCACTGATCACTAAGAATGGTGATCGCTCGGACCCGTCCAACTACATACAGGCTTATCGCCATCACCTCCTTTTCTCCATAATAATGATTATGGAGAAAAGGAGGTGTCCATTTTCAAGCCATTATTAAATGCCAGATCATGAGGTACTTTGATGAGCATCAGCTGATTAGTGACCGTTAATACAGTTTCTGTCGAGGTCGCTCAGCTGGTGATCTTCTTCCCTATCTGACTCACCGTTGGGTGGAGGCAGTTGAGACCAAGTGGAAGGCCCTGGCGGATAATTTGAACATAGCGAAGGCTTCCGACTGAAATTGGCATAAAGCGCTTTTATTAAAGCTTCCCTCTTATGGGCTTACGGAGAAATTATGTAATTGGGTCACCAGTTTTCATACAGATCGGAGTATTAAGGTCGTAGTCGACGGTACATGCTCCGACTCCAAGCCTGTGAATGCTGGTGTTCCACAAGGCTGCGTGCTATTACCTACCATGTTCCTTTTGCATATCAATGATATGTTATATACTAGTAACATTCATTGTTATGCAGGCAACAGCACAGACGATGCTTTATACACAAGCCGTGCTTATATTTCTCGAGAACGCGTCGAGTTCCGGAATGAACTAGTGTCTGAAGTCCAATCTTTCTAAGTCTATTCCAGATTAAACTCCAAAAGACACAGGTGTGCGCGTTGGCCGCAAAAAAGAAACCCTTTGTCGTATCTTCTCAATTTAAGGGTATTCCCCCAGCTAGTTGCCTCAGCTAGCGTGGATTTCTTGACATCGGCATTTCGAGAGACATATTATAGTACCTTATGCAACGGAGAGCGGACCGAATTGTCGACGACCAAGTTCTTTCCAATCTGCTTTGCCTCGCATGAACATACTATGGAATTTATTTGCTTGCACCCCTAGGCACGTGCCTAGTTTGCCTTTAGGATAATCCGCCACTGTGAATCCAGAATCTTTTTTTCTTCAAATTTTATTTTCGTCTTCCTCTGCCAATAAGCAGGCTATGACAACATTTTTTCCATAGCACAACCAATGTCACCTTACCGTTTCACACCAGTGGTTAGAAAAAATTGCAAAAGTTGTCGGCAATCCTAAAGATATGCATACGGCTCGTATGTGCGAGGTGCGACGCTGTTAGTAAATGTGGCGCGTACGGTGCTGAGAAATATGCGTTCACATTTAGACCCGATTTGCCTTAATTATCCGCTTGGAAGGCGGATTGACGATCACAGTACCAGTTGTTTCACACCCTAGTTTTTAGTATTTTAAAGTCTTTATAAATACAGAGTGTAGAGTGCCTTATAAAGGTCGCGGCGGCCAGGCCATTGACCTCCCAGATCAGCTGATTTGACGCCTCTTGACTTTTTTATGGGGACGTATTAAATCATTAGTTTATTTTATTGAGACAACAAGTGCCGATGACTTAAAAATAGGATAATGAACGCTTTTAGAATAGTGAAAAATGACACTGAATTGCTTTTAAATTATTTTCTTTCTTTTTTAAAACGTAACTTTCCCACTAGGATTTTCTCTTGTATTGTGGTGGCAGTTTACAAACATAAATTGCACAAGGACAAACATCCAGACCCGGAACAATTATTTGTAGGCCATACAAATACTTGTTCCGTGCGAGATTTGAACTCGCGGCCTAAGGGCCTGCGCTAAGGCGCTGCAACTCAATTGCTAAGCCACTGCGCCACGGAGCCGTGGTGGAAATTTTGAAAGTGTATTAAAATACAACGTTGCATGAGAGTTTAGGCTATCAGTAAGTTAAACATTTGATTCTTAAAATTATTGTAATCTTGATTCACATCTTTTAAACACGCCGTCAGGGGTGTCACTTCCACTATGGAAGGTATGGAGCACTCCATACCTCAAGTTTTTCAAGGTATGGAATTCCATAGCTGAAATTAGGAAATAAATCGCATATTACTACAAACCCCATATAAATAAATCGCAAGCCCTTAAACCTCAATACCCCACATCTTATAGTTCAATAAATAAGTTGAGTATATACACTGCAAACTCTTAAACCTTAATACCCCACGAGTAATGCGAACAAATTTGAAAATCGCGCCACCATTTTCCATACCTCAGATTTTTACAAAGTGACACGCCTGCACGCCGTCTTTGAATTATGTTGTCGTATTGCCTCTTATTTTTAGCAGTTCATTATTATTTACAATTACAATTAAAATGTTATGCAAATTCATAACATTTTGTAACGAATATTGTCTATTGACATTGTATCATAATCAATAAACAAAGTTATTCAGAGTCGAAAGTCCAAAGCCTGAAAAGTGTGATGGAAAGATCTAATCAAATGTTTACTAGACTTAAATAAACAACTCAATGCACGGAGTTCTGACATCTGTTAATGTTCATAGGTAGGTGTTTCTTTAACGTAACCAATCATGTATTGTCAGCTTTTTTCGGCACTAATACCTACCTGCAATTGTGTCTAGCGACGGCGGCGTTAACTCGTTTCGAACGCGAGCGAATACCTACTAGGCTAGCAAGACCTATACCTAGCGTTCGTGGTTTTGTACGGTGACCACAACATTCTTCCGGAATTAGTATAACTAATTCAATAAATAATCAATGTATAAACATGTTTAACTATGAAGTCAGTGTATGTATTATGATTATAACATAATATACTAAGTGGGGTGTCTGAGGGTGTGCGTTAATTACGTTAGATGTTGTATATACACTATTTCACTTGTAACATAAACAACAAAACCAATTGTAAAATACCTCTGACATATTTTCTTTAGACAACTTAGAAATCTCGAAATCATAAGCAACCGGCCCGTGTTCTTTGCTTTTAAACGTTTTTGCATTTAAATGTTGATGACAGATAAAATCACTAGGTGCTAAATCGGAAAATATTTTATGGGTGAAGTAAAAAGTTAAGCGTTTTGGCAGACCATTGCGGTGCTGCGATGTCATGATACCAGAATAGGTGCTGTATTCCTGTCATTCTTCGATCGTCACACCAAGTTAATAATACGTTTTGGGTACAAACTTGTCATATACCACTCTGGAGTGTCTGGAATTAACCATTCTTTGACCATATTGCTAATATGGCTCGCCTTGCAGAAAAGTGAGGCCACCATTTGCTTTTGCGTGCTTCGCGCGTAAATCGGAAACATTTCGTTAGAGTTGGATCACGTTCAAAGCATCCCGCACTCAACTGTTAGTTTATAAATTACTGATACTGGTACATATGTACCTGAACTTGAAGTAATAAAACTTATTATTGAACAAAAACTAATTGAACTTTTCCATTTTTCAGATTTGTAAGAAGAAGTAAATCACCAATTTATGAGTTACTTTTTTGGGGGATAACCGTAATCATAGTTGCTAATGTTATATTCTCAATAGCTCTCGTTTTAGTTGCAATGACAAATTATCCCGGTGGATTGGCTATCACTAAGTATGTAAATGATTTTCATAAATTAAGAAAAAGTTAAAACAACCAAATATTCAGATACTAATATTTACAATTTATTTTAGCCCACGGTTACACATTCGTTTTTGTAACTGTGAAATTATATTTTGTGTTAAATTTGTATTATTTTGTTGAGCTAAAAGCTATTTTCTATTCGAAAAATGTTTTGTTTGCTAATTATAAAATATTACAATTCGTAAAAAAAATCAATTTGTAAATTATTTTATTTTTGCAGATTTCATAAGTTGTTAAAGAACGAACCTTCTGTCCACGTGCATATTAGTAATCTAGCAGCACAAACCGGTGTTACCAGGTTCACTCAAATTCATGATCATTGGCAATACAGTAAAAACGAATCCTTGCAGCCTGAACAGCTGCAAGCTTATACTCATCTTCTTATCGAAGCTAAAAGTAAATATTCACCGACTCTTAAATCTTTTACACATACACATGTCATTTTAGATAACGTTGAGACATTTTCTCATGTAACTGTAAATTATAAGCTAATGCCCCCAGTAAAAATAAAGACGCGTCCAGCTATTTTCATTTTAGAGAAAACGAATTTTAGAGATCAAAAAGAGTTTCAAACTTCTGACAGCATTAACGTTGCCAGAAATATTGAAGCAAATGAAATTTCATCAGAAGAAACAATTGTTCAAGTTATAAGTTATGACAGTCAAGTTTTTGATACGCCAGTTACAGAAGATGATGAGACTGTAGATGAGTCGAACGTTGAAGATAATGTAAATATAAACCATAAAGAGGTTTCAGAGGAGACTACTGAAATAAACGAAGCGGAAAAACGTTATGATAATTCTCACGAAGTAGAAGTAGACAATTCAGAACAAAAATCCGAAAAGGACTTGAATGATGCACATGACCATGTAAGGTCTTATAGACAAGAAAGAAAGAAAAAAGCAATAGCGAAAATCAAATCAGAAACTCGTAAAGAAGTTGTAGCTTCAGCCAAGGAAAAGTTGAAAGAAATAATGAAGAGACATAAGAATGTTGCAAAAGAGCTTTCTGAAAATATGTTATTGGACGATAAAACCGAAATCAAAGAAGTAGATGGAAGGGGCGATATTCCTGAATCAGAACCTTTGCTTGAGGTAGACAATTCATCAGTTATTGCCATCGAACCGATTGCTTCTGAACCAATGCAAGAAAATGATTTGAACTCGGTTGATATTCAGTCCACAGACACAGCCAACCTTACAAATGAAAATATAGATACCATAGTAGAAGAAGTAATTACGAGACTAATAGATAGAAAAATTTATGATGACAAGACTAAACCAGAGGATATCAAAGTAGAAGATAGGCTAATGATACAGAAAATTGTAGAAGAGGTACTTGCAGAAAAAATGAATTATAAATCTAATAACGGATAAGTAATATTAAGTAAGCGAAATGAATGTACATACTCATATATTATGTTTATTTGTTTTGTACATTTTTGATCTCGTATGATTATCGAGTTTCTCTTTGAGATGAGCTATTGGTTGTTACAAATTTGGCTAACATGGTGCCAAGGATTAGGAAAGTCTTTTTTATTCAATTTATACACTTCTTGTTGTCGTTGTTGTTTGTAATATATATTTAAATATACGTTATATAACGTTACTGTTTTTTCTTTCTATACTAATTTTACTTTAATAAATATATAAGAAATGTTATATCCAATCTTGTTTGTCAATGTTTATATTCAATCTTATTTACAAAATTGCATTGCCTATTTAACATACCTATGTCTTACAAATCTGAGATAACATTATCCGAACATTTTCGTTAATACAATAGACATTTAAATACAGTTAAAACACTTTAAAACGAATGGTTTGATTTCAATCAAATTAACTTTGCCAAGCCGTTTAGAGGTGATGTAAGAAAATCCACTACCCCACACATATCATGCCGTGGGTGTTATGACAGTGGACAATAGCGTTACGTATAAAAACCGACTGCGACCTGGTCGTCGCTTAGTGTCAGATCATAGAGGCTACCAATGGGATACGATTGCACCGCTGACCGATTGTAGACATTTGGAGGTCCAAATAATTAGCCAGCCACTCTTGAAAGACTACCTCGCCATTTTAATAATAACGAGACTAATAGATAGAAAAAAATATTTTTCTATCTATTAGTCTCGTTATTGTATAATTATGATGACAAAACTAAGCCTGGACTGGCTCCACGAAGCCGTTTGGCGATCGGAGGAAATCCTGATGGCGGGTTCTATCGGGTTTCGGGCGTTCCCGTGGTCTCTGTGCTGGGTGCACCAACGGTGCTGTGACTTTTTGCGTCACTATTTTTAATGTGTGACATTTCGTTCAAATGCCATTTTCTCAGCCTCACATGAAAAATAAGTGTAAGATTTTATAGCCGTTGTCAGTCGACTATTAAGTATCTATATATCTCTGTGCAGTCAACCACGCGATTTACGTATTCGTGTGGAGCGTATTCATAACGCCGACTTACAATCGCGGTTTCAATTATTTTCACATCATATTTGTGTATTTGACTCCTAGATAAAGTTTGCAGTATTGTAAAATAAAATAATTACATATACAACATGTAATAAAATCCATGTGGTTCCCGTCAAGTGCGTTATCAGAATCGGTATTCAAACGTATAGAAATAACTGTGCTTCAGAACACCAGAACATAAAAAAATAAATTTAATTTAAATAAATTTTTATTTGCCAATTGTACGTAGTTATATTACCTCTAAGTGTCACGCCCATAGGTAAAGCAGGGTATTTGCAAATAATATTACTGCTCGGACATAAACGGTTACATCGAAAATGTATGTAGTCATATTTTTCGAACTCAATTAAAACATTGACAGAAAAAAGGACAATGGCGCTCCAGCTACAGATACAGATTTTAGTGCCATATTAACAAATCCTTAGACGGAGAAGTTCCAACAGAAAGTTTTTTGGCCAGCACTCACATTTGGACCAAAACGGATTATGTCTTTTATTAAATTCGGTCTACCATATGTTTTATGAATCGCATTCACACTTAAATGTGTGGTCCGCAAGCAAGCTGCAAGCAGCCCCCTAAACAGGCGATGCCAATCTTGTTAAGTTGTAAGATTCAACGTCTCACAAATGCGTGTCTCTGCACTGCAAAAGGAAACCTCACCTCGTCAAATGCTTTCCGGGATGTATCTTTGGAGCATTATACTACAATTGCACGATGATGTTCTGCGTTCTTCAATTAACTTATAGCAGTGCCGGATTAAGCAAGCGCGGGGCCCGTAGCAAATTCTATCGAGAGGCCCTTGTTCTGCTATGCTGCTATTCTTAAATACAAAATGTTAAAAAACAATTCATTTAATAGAATCAGGCGTTACTTTGCAGAAATCCATTATATTAAAGCTTTTAAAAAATTACCTCGCAACCATCCGCTCGATAAAATAAACGTGACGTGTCTTACCTAGTATGAAGTGCACCTCCCGCCCTCCCTCAATTGCGTGCACTATTCCAGTCACCACTAATCCCAGCACCACTACACTAGGAAAGACACACCACTGGCAATACGACACGTGTTTCCCCTCTACACGGGGCATCTTCAGGTGATGTAGACACTGCGGTGGCTGACCGCTTTTTTTAAAACAATTCAATAATCAATGTGTTTATTTACCATCTCAAACTACCTTACAATTACAATTTTGTCATAGTACAGTAGATTACTACAGGCCCTGTTAGACTCTGACAAATACAAAATGTTAGAAATGAGATAGTCCTGGCAATTTAAATGTGACGATACCACAGAATTAATTGTAAATCTTTTTAGAGTTTCGTACCCAAAGGGTAACCAACGGGACCCTATTACTAAGCCTCCGTTATCCGACCCTCTGTCTGTCAGCGGGCTTTATCTCATGATCAGTAATAGGTAAACAGTTGAAATTTTCACAGAATGTGTATTTCATGCGTTCGATACATTGCTTCCTTGATGTTATTGATTTGATAACCTCCTCGCATGTTGTTTTAGATAAATATAACGTATGTTCTTTTGATTTATGAATTTAAATATGTCGTATCGGTTCGGAAAAACCGCTGGCGATAGTAAATTCTACAGTTTCGTCGTGCGAATCAGAAAATTCCACGTAAATCGCGAAGTAGTGGACCGCCAGCCATCGAGATGATGAGGATGGAATTTCGAGTTCTGTCGCAGTGAACGATGATGGAATTCAGCAGCTGGAATTAATCCGAATAATTCCTCTGAGCAATCCCCGTGGTATATGCGATAAAAGATGCATAGAGATGCAACGTCTCTTCGCAAGGTCAGTGGATCAAGCCGATCGAAAATAACTTGATCGTCGACGATTCGACCCACTCTACCTTGAATATGGTCTAATGGAAGGAGCTGATACTGGGGTGTCCCGGCCCAGAGACGAAAACAGTATTCCATATGAAGTCGATCCTGCTCTTGGTAAAGCTGCAAGCGGTGGTCCGGCATGAAATACCGTCTTGGTCTACTCACCACACCAAGCTTTTTTGATGACAGTTTAGCCTTCCCTTCCAAGTGAATGCGGAACTGTACGTTTCTCGAAATGTCGACGCCAAGGATTTCGATGCTGACTGAGGCAACGGAGAGTGCCCTGAAATCGAGGATGTACGACAAAGGGGTTCTTTTTTGCGGTAAACGCGCAAACCTGTGTATATTGGGGGTTAAACTGGAATAGATTTAGTCGCCCCCAATCCGAGACTTTGTTCAACAAAGACTCGACTTCAGACACGAGTTTATTCTAGCACTCTACGAGAAATTCCCGAGGAATATTAGCTAAGCCGTGGTGTATAAAGCATCGCCAGTGTTGTCGTCTGTATAAAAATAAATGTTACTAGTATGCCACACATCATTGATATGCAGAAGGAACAGGGTAGGCAATAGCACGCAGCCTTGTGGAATACCAGAATTCACAGGTTTGGAGTCGGAACATGCACCATTGACTACCCTTATAATCCGATTTGTAAGAAAACTAGTGACTTATTTGCATAATTTCTCGGAAAGCCCATAAGAGGGAGCTTCGAAAGAAGCGTTTTGTGCCAAACCCCATCGAAAGCCTTCGCTATGTTCGAACTAACCGCCTGGGCCTCCCGCTTGATCTCGACTGCCTCCGACCACCAGCTGAACGACCTTGACGGAAACCGTACTGACGATCACTAATCAGCTAATGATCTTGCATGCTGCCAGCTAATGCAGATGCATCTTTGCTCTGACAGTTAATAATGGATTCCATTATTTTGGAGAATAAGGAGGTGATGGAATTATTTTACAGAATATAGCCAAAGGCTTGTAGTTGGACGGGTTCGAGCGGTCACCTTTTTTAGGGATCGGGTGCACTAAGACTGTGTTCTATGAGCCTGGAACGACGTCTGAAGAATAAGAGAACCGGAAAAGATGTGTAAAATTCAGTGCCAACTCTTGAGCACACGTCTTCAACACAATTTGGGGGATTCCATCAGGCCCACTCAACTTGCTGACATCCAGGGACAGTGTTCAGGGAGCTGTATAAACAGCAAATGGCATGAAGCACTCACACGTATTTTATTGGTATCTTCCCCCCGAATCTAAAAGATATGCTTTCTTCTTTGCGACGTGGGCCAGCGAGTCATCCTCCCTACTCAAAGATGGTAATGATGGCTTAAATAAATTCCGGGATCAGAACGCACGAGTTCCCGAAGGAAGGCGAACTAAATTCTCGCCAATTCTCCCAATGTGTTTCGACTTTGTCCTAGTGATAACTCTTTTAAAGAACATAGAGGCAGATTTGTACTTCTTTTTGTGTGCACTAGTGGTTGCATCCCGGGACGCCGATGCTTCAGCCCAGGCCTTATAACACTCTGCTCTTGCTTTTTCCGCGACGCAAATTTTGCAGGAGTGTCCAAACCAAGGCTGGGATTTGCCGCCGATAGGTACTACAGATGATGGGATGAAAAAATCCATCCCCAAAGCACCTCATCGGCAACTCAACAACGATTTTTATTGGATCATCCAGCGAGAAGCAGGATTTGCTTTCATGGGTAGGATGCAAAAAAAACCCGCATCGAATCACAATCCCCTGAGCTAAACCACAGACGACAGCCCACAGAACGTACTTGCAATGAGTAAGTGATGGGCGCCGTACTCCGGAACAGGCAGTGATCCAAAGAGCCAAGAGGGGCATCGACGGAGATCCTATATCCGTCCGGATGATCCTCCATATTTTGCAACCACGCGGGCGAAGTGACCATTTGTGTCAGACCATATGTCAAGGCAAAGTCGTAAGCAGATCTTCCCGCATGATCAGTAGTACGAGTACCGAGCCATTCATCGTGGTGGGCGTTGAAACTTGTGCGTTTACCGTATGAAATTTTGTGTTTTATTTTCGCCAATGAAATAAT